TGCCAGGAGGTCCCGCAAGCTCGGCTTGGTGGCGTGCAGGTCAGGAAAGGCAGCTGCCAGCTCCCTCCGGAGCCCTCCGCACTGCTCAGCGATGCACATTAAAATCTTGCTGCCTCGGTAGAAGCTTTGAGCGTGCAAAGCTCTGCCAGCTCCCAGGGACCGGGCGCGCGGGGCTGGGGGTGAGCATCGCCGTGGGTCAGCCCAGGCTGCCCGCATCCCCACGCCGGGGGATCTGAGGACGTGGCCCCATCGGTACCCAGGTCTGCTGCAGTGCAGGGATGGGGATGTGACATAACATGGCAATGGCCACCTTCCCTTCTCGCATCCCTTGGGGGAGAAAAAGGCTTAAAATGGAATGCTCAGTGGCTCGGCACCAGCAAGCACAACTTGCAGCACATCCTGCTCGCTCCCAGCAGCTGCTTGTGTTATTTCAGGGAGATAAGGCTCGTGACTTTTTCTTGCCAGCCTTACACAAGATGGTGTTTGTGGGGTGCCCGCTGTTGGGCTGCCCTTGCCCTCACTCGGCCTCGGGGTGCTGCAGGGGGCACTGCCCATCGGCCCGGCAAGCCAAAATCTGCCTGTCGAGGGGCCAGCCCCGCGATAGCGGGGAGAGCTCAACCTCCCTGCATGGCTCCCTGTGTGTGTCTTTGGTGTTTCCCGGTTTCATGGCCAGATAAACATCCAGAATGTGCTTTTGGGCTTCTCAGGGGTTTATTCTGGTCTTTTAAACTCCCTGTTTTGACATGTCTTTTCGGAGGCATTTTTCTTCACTCCCGACTGTGACTCCTCCATGCTCGCGGGGGATGAATTTGGATGGCTGGTTTAATTATCCTTTCCTCTTTTGTGACCCACTGGCCCCGGCTAGTTTGGGCTGTGGAGCTTTAATTAAGATGGTTTTAAATTTAATGGGAGTTGACAGGGTCAGATGGGAAGGGCTGGGACTTACATAGGTGGGGAGCGTGTAGCCGGGTCCCCACACAGCAGCCATGCTGCCCTCCCCTCTCCTCCGCCAGCGATTCCTTTCATCTGGGACGGTTTTCCATCAGTTGGGGAGGGATGAGGTGCTTTAACTCAGGTGCGTTCGACATGTAGTCACTGGGCAAAGTGGGGGTCCCAGGCAGGCATGGGGGGCACCTGCCCACACCTTCCCTGGTCCCCAGATTGGAGGTGGGAGATGAAGTGAGCATCTCTTCATCTCCTTCTGTTTGAGGAATCAGTGCAAGTGAGAAACGAGTGCCCTTGTGGAGGAGAAGGGCTGGAGGCGTGACCCAGGTGTGCCCTCGCTGCGTCAGCTGGGGAGAGAGAGGATCTGCAGCATCAAACCCTGGTTTGGGGGGCAGGTGGAGCAGTTCCCCCCTTCTCAGCAGCCCTTGGGAGTCATTGCAGCGGGGCTGGTCCCAGCCTGGCAGAGACGTGCCTCTGTGTTCCCCCCTTCTACTGAGCAAAGCCTGATGGCGCGGGGCAGGGGACAGGAATCATTTTTTCCATGGGGGACAGGGTGACCTGCTGTATTTGGGTGGCAGGAGGGGATGGTGGGGTGAGGCTTTCCCCAAAGCACCAGGGGCTGTGCTGCAGTTCGCTTACCCCCCAGCCGTGATGCTTGCCGTGGGAAAAGACAAAACTTCAGTAGCATCCCCTGGGATCAAGGGTGAAACTGCTGTGCGAGAGCATGTCCAGGGCTGCGTTTCCTACCAAAATGCAGGGAGGGAGCAGGGGTTGGTGCGGGCAGGGGGACAGGGTGTCGGCTGTTTGGGTACCACCTGGGTGCTGCCTGTGCAGGGGGACACAACGCACAGCCCAACGCCTTTTGGGTTTTGGCCGTCTGCCTGCCTCCAACCCGGGATCTGTGGTTTTAATGGCACACCCTGTTTGTCCTGCCCCGCAGGACCCCGATGCTGCTGGGAGGGGATGGCTGTGTGCAAAGCGGGATGGAGCAGGCCAGGGTGGGTTTGGGACCACCACTCTCTGCTCCTTCCCATCCCCAGTGCCTGCTGCCGGGGGCTGGGTGCCGCGAGGCTGCTTTGTCTCGCCCGCCGTCCCGCACGCTTCATTTTTCAGTCTGGCTTGAGACAGTTGCTGTTATTAATCTCGCTGGGGCTTTGTGAGCCAGGGACACGGCTCGGCTCCCTCCAGCAGTGGGTGGGTGCTGGTGCCCCGGCCCCTCACCCACCTCTCCTCCAGCACCCAGCCCATCTCATCTTCTGGAGGTGCCGCTCGGCACCCACCCAGCTCCTGAGCAGCCGCAGGGATGGAGCCTGTTTTGCCGGAGATGTGTCCCTCCCCAAGGCTTGGTGTCTGGTGTTGGGCCCCAGCCTGTTGTGGCATTTCTCAAGGTTTCTGCTTCTGCCCTGCAGAAGCTGTACTGCTGTGTTTTGTCTGCTCTCAATCAGTGCCTTTTGTTAGCGTCTTTGAAAAGATAAGATCGCTTCTCCCTTGCCGCCAGCCCTGCTATCAGCCTGGTGTTACCACGACCATTGTATCCTTGATCGAGCTGGGCACAGTGGAAAACAGCCAGAGCAGGACCTGTCGGAGAGCAGCAGTTCCCCTCGCTGTTGTCTTTCCAAGAGTACCTCTGCCACGGGGAGGTAGGGCAGAGGATTGAGCCTTCTCCTGCATCCCAACTTGCCAGTTCATTTTGCGGGGGGAGAACCCCTGGGGACGCGGGTCAGAGGAGCGGGGATGCTGGGCAGGTCGAGCGGCATTTCCAGCGCCGGCGGGGAAGGATGGGGACGCCACTGCCCCGTGTGCCATGATTTGATCCGACCTGAGTTGTGCAGCTGAGTGTGCTTCATTTTTAATTGCTTTCGGAGAGGGGAGGGTGGGGGTGGCCTCTTGCTGGGGCTCTCTCCTTGCAGCACCCTCTGCCCTGGGCAGGGTGTGTGGCTGGGCTCAGCCCTGGCACTCTCTCCTCTGGCTGCAGCTCAGCCCAGCCGCTGTCTGGGGGGGCCAGGGAGACCTTGAATGCAGAACCCAACAGCACACGGGGATGGCAGCGCTGGAGGGTGCCCAAGCCCAGCCATGGCTGTGCTGGCAGTGTGCTGGCTGGGATCGCAGCTCTGCTACAGAGCAGAAAGCAGGGCTGTGCCAGGCTGCTGCTGGAGCAGCCGCTGTCAGCCACCAAACACCCAAACCTGGGAGCGGGAGGGATGCAGGTGCATCCATCTGCCTGGCAGCTGCACGGGAACCAGTCCCTTCCCTGTCGGAGGACCTTACACCTTGCCACCCCAGCACGTGGGTGACCCCAGGCTGAGGAGTATTTGGGTTTCCCTGATGGCTTTTTTGGTCCTATTTTGTATAAACACGGCCAGGGCCTTGCAGCGTGTGCACGGGAGCCCAAGTGACACAGCGTGCACGGGCGGTGGGGACACGGGCACCGCGTGCGTACGCGGAGCAGCCTTATTTGTATGTGCTGCAGCCCGGAGTTGAGACTGCAGTTTCCCCCACCTTCCATCCCGCTGTGCAATTAGTGCCAGCGAGTATTAGTCAAGTACAAATTACAAACCATTCAAAGTCTTAAAAAGCTGTCAATCAACTGCTGCTTATTATCCTAATCAAATGCACTAAAAATAGTGACAAAACTTATTACCAGGGGGAAGGGGAGGCCATCAAAACAAACCTGTGGTGCGGCACACCCTCTGCGCAGCACCCACTGCCCCAGGCACCCACCCAGTGAGAGGGACACGGCGGCCGCCCGGCGTTCCGCTGACCCCACGGAGGTTTGCTGGGTGGTTTCCACCATCACGCTGTGGCATTTGCAACATAACAAGCCTGGTGTGCGTGCCGTGGGGCTGCGTGCTGTGATCCGGGTGATGCACGGGCTGAGCAGGTCGGGTCGGGGCAGAGGAGGCTGCGACGGCAGCCGGCGGTGCTGGGGGAGCAGCAGCTCCTTCTCCTCTCCTGTGTCCCTGTATGAGCCCTCTCCTCCCTACCCATTTGCGGCTGAAGGCCCTTGCGTGAAGGCAGGAGACCACGGTTGGTCTCATTCCCAGGCTTGCGGCAGCAAAAACCTGCTCACCCTGTCCCCATCCATCTGGGATGTTCCCCCTGGATGAGATGTGGAACCTGGGCTCCAGCCGGGACAGGAGCCTGTTGGGATGTTGCTGGGGGTGCTGTGGGGGCTCAATCCACCCTGTGCTGGGCAGGCAGGAGCCTCAGGGACAACTGAACCTTCTGCCCAGCACCGGGTGAGCAGGGCTGGCTGGAGTGAGATTTCTTTGCCAGTATGAGGGAGGGGAGAAGGGGCAGTTCCTGCAGGATCTAGGGGCTAGGAGCAGGTGGCAGAGCCAGGCAAGTGACTGTTCTGGCTCTGTGGGATCCTCCCTTGCTCTGTTTTCAACCCAAAGCTGTGCTCTGAGCCACTGCTGCTGACAAGTGTCATCACGCACACTTATGACAGGAAACTGTCCTTTTTGAAAATTTGGCTAAAACATGCTTTTCTGGCTGCATCAGGGCTTGAGCAGCACAAGGTGCTCCCAGTCCTTGTGCATGGTTCATGCCCGCAGCACATCTGTGCTGTTGGGGAGGGACAAGGTGACTCTTATCCCAGGGGACAAGGTCTCTGGTTGGTGGCCGACCCCGTCTGCCACTGGTCCTGGCCATCCGGAGATGGAGCATCAGAGCTGGAAACGCTGCTGTGTCCAGAGGATCTGGCTCCACTTTTCCCCAAAAAAACCCCTCGGTGGGCTGTGGGTGCCTGCGCTCCCCTCTCACCCTGCAGCATCGCTCAGGGTGGCTCTGGCCACCTCCTCTCCCGTCCCTGGGTGGGTTTGATGAAGTGGAGCAGAGAATTGTCCCCTCTTCACCCATGAGAGATCAGAGCGAAAGGCTGTGAGCTGCCGGCCCCACGATGGGGGGGGGGGGGGGGATGGCGAGGAGGAGAAGGAGGAGGAGGAAGGCAGCAGCAGCCCTGGGCACTGGACCATGGCACGGGGGGAGAGGGTGGCGGGGCGCGGGGATGGCGGTGGCTGCTGCGGGTGCTGACGTCCCCCTCTGTCTCGCAGGCTGCGGCGGGAGCTGAGCTGACTTCACCGCGGTCCCTCCCCACCCCGCAGTGAGGCTGTAGCCGGAAAGCACTGGTAAGGCATCTCCGACGGCCCCAGGGAGGGGGGACCAGGCTGCTTTGCTGAATGAACCCACCCGGGAAAAGGGAAACCCTCCCACCCCCCTGGGAAAGTTCAGATGTGGGGTACCAGGTGCTCTGCAACAGCTGGATCTGGCCCTTGAACACCCGTGGGTGGGTAGGGTGCAAGGGCAGAATGCAGAGCCCTCCCTTCATCCTGCCCACCCCCCCCGGGTGCTCCCCCGCGGCGTGGCCGGCCCGCGGGGGGGGGCAGAGCTGAGGCCTCGCAGCCCAGCGCCGCGGTGGTTTGCGATTTGCCGCCGGCGCTGACCCCGGGGAGCGGAAAGCAGGGGAGTCCCTGCAGGCAGCGACGTGCGCGGGGCGCTGATCCCCCCCGCAGGAAAGCTGCCTCCCACCGCCACGCCGCCTCGCCTCGCCCCACGCGGAGGCGAGCCCCGGCAGCGCTGGCCGCGCTCCAGCCGCCGGGGAAGCCCTGCCGAGAGCCGAGGCACCGGCTGGGACGGGGAGCGGTGCTGAGCCCCCCCCCCCCAGCCCAGCGCTGTCGGCTGCGAAAAGCACGGGAGCAGGGAGATCCACTGCTGGGCAGCAGCCAGGCTGCCCGGGCTGGATGCTGGTGGCTCTGAGCAGCACGCCTGCAGCCTGTTACACCTAGAAATACCGTACGTTAGACGTAAATACAGCGTAGCTGCTGGCGGTGGGTATTTTTTTGCAATCTGGCCACTGTGATGCTGTCCCACAGCTCCCAGTGACGCTGCCGGGCAGTGGTTTCACCTCTTCCTTCTCTGCCCCTTTGCTCCAGGATGGTTTCATCGCCCTCTCTGCCAGAGGCGGGGGGGGTGGGGTTCCTCTTGCTGGCCTCTCTTCCCCCAGGGACCTGAGTGCACAGCACATTTCTGCCATCATTAATAACTCCTCTGCAAGGCTCTTGCACAACCCCCTGCATCCTCGTGGGGGAATTTGCACCCTTTCCTTGCTGGCTGCCAAGGTGGGGTGGCAGGGGATTTCTCACTCTTCTCCCTGGGGGCAGGTGGGGAACGTGACCCCCGAGGGTGGCTACAGAGCTAAAGCTGCATGGTCATGTTGTCTGAGTTACCTGGGGCTCGGAGTGGGGATGGTGCAAGGTCGCCAGTTTTGGGGTTACCAGCTTACATTTTGCACTAGCCAAATCAAAGCAAGTGTGTGCAGGTGTTTAGGTGCAAAGGTTTTTGCAACAGGAGAGCTTGGAGGGGGACTTGCTGCTCTGGAGCCCCTTCCTCAGAGGACCTCAGGCTTGTGCCTCCTCCTCCTCCACTCCTGTCTTCAGCTCCTGCAGGCAAAGCCCTGATGGCTGGATCAGGCCCCGTCAGAGCAGCACATCCCGGTGACCAGCAAAGCCCTTGCCAAGGTTAGCACCCAGGCACAAGCTGGGAGCTTGCGATGTATACTGGAGAGCTCTCCCTCCCCAAAACCACTGCACAAGGAGGGATAGACTCACAGCCCACGCTGTCCCTGGCCAGGACATGCCTGGAAGATGCACATCCTGTGCCCACAGGCTAATGGGTGTGAAGGCGAGGACGCCCCCTGCTCTGGGGACATTGGGGAAGTGCCTGGGGGATCCACTCTCCCCTTCCTGTGCTCTGCTCCTGCTTAATCTCTAGGCATATTGACTATTTTATATCCTGATTTTTCTCAGTGCGCTGATAAACCAGTTGCCAGCCCAGGCTGGCAGCCCCGCGGGGTGTGCTTGCGGAACATTTGTGTCCCCAAAACGCTACTAAATCCGCCTCCCCATCTGGGGTGTTTTCCTGCGTGGGGAAGTGCTGCTTCCAGGGGAAACTCTGAGCGGCTGCGCCCCTGGCTCACGGTCGCGTGGGCAGTCACAAGCCACACGGTCACAGCCCCGCCGTGCCCCGGCTTTCCCCCCCGCGCCGCCGCTGCCATCCCGGGAGGGCCAGTGAGTGCCGGAGCCCCGGGCGGAGGTGAGCGAAGGGCTGGCGTGGGACAGGGAGGTTCTCTTTCCTTAGCAGTGGGATTTTTTTCTTGTCGTTTCTAAGGTCCTGCTTTTCCCTGCAGTTCTGCTTTAGTATCTTTGGCTTTGAAAAGTGCATTTATTTACGGGACAGGCTCCCTCCCCTTCGCTGTGGGATCTGCCTCTGGGTTGCTGGCAGTGACGATTTGCGAACGCAAAGCTTATGTTTGACCTTCCTTTGCTCCGAGGCCCCCCAAGCCCGGCACAGATATGCGTGGGCTGAGTCCCGTGGCAGATAGAGGCATCGGTCCTTCCTTGTCGCCTGCATGCATAGGAGGAAGGACGGCTCCACTCCTTGCCGGAGCAGCTGCTGTAGCCATACCCAGCTCAAAAAATCAATTTATTCTGATTCCCAAACCCTGGCACGGTTTGATCCCCCCAGTATGGTTGCAGCTGAAGCAAACTTGTGTGGAAGCTGGACAGAGGGATGCTGCAGGTCCTCTGTGCGATTTGGGAGCTGGGAAACAGTAGATGGAAGTTGAGTCTTCCGGAAAATAAGCCCCGATCGTCAGGCAAAGCCCTCGCTGTGGGGAGAGGAGGTGGGAGGGGAGCAGAGCTTGTGCCTGCACCCCTAAACTTCCCCGTGGCAGGAGCCAGGGGGGCTCTGCCCCACTGATTCCAGGGCTGTGCAGGCTGCTGGAGCTGCCCCGTGGCTCTGGCCCTGCTCGTGGGGTTCAGCCCGAGCTTTTTTCAAAAGTTGGGTTAGAAAAACCATCTGTTGGGTGAGGCTGAGCCCTCGGCAACGCCTGGCGGGTGGCTGCAGCCAGGTCCGCACCCCGTGAGCAGCGGCTGTCTCCTCTGCTGCTTCCCTGCTTGTTTTTTCTTACCAGAGATATTCTCCTCCCTGGTTGTCTCCACCTCCCTTTTCCCTCCTGCCATGCGTGATCTAGCCTAAATATTTCCTTCCATAGCTTCAGGACACTGCTGGGTATCTTGTCATCTTTGGAGACTGCAAATAATTCCCTTCCTTCATTTATATCATTACCTTGAAGGTATTTATAGAGCATGATCTTGAGTGGAAAGGAAGGCATGACTATATATAAAGCCAAGATCCCTGGGTCCTTAGCTGCTAACTGCCTGAAACTGCTCCTGATTTAAACTTTTATCCTGTTTGCTCCATGTTTTAGACTTCACAGGACCACTCTCAGCATTTAAATCCCCATCCTGAGCAGAGTGATGCAGCTATGGATTCTCCAAGTTTCTGCCATCAGAGCAGTCCGAACTTGTGAATATTTGTCTGGGTCTTGTCTTCTCCTCTCCATGCCCTGTTAGAAACCCTCGTGTAGGGGGAAACGTGGCTGTCTGGGGGCCTGAGCTACATCCCTTGGCAGGCACCTGGCCCTGGGTCATCCACAGCCACGCTCCCCAGCACCCGTCCAGGCTCCGCGCTCAGCATCCTCACCCCGCAATCCTGCGGCCGAGTGTGCTTCCCTCCGCTCCCAAGGCACACCCTGGCAGCTCCGCTCCCGGCGTCTTGCTGGCTGCTGCGGCCACGCGGGAGGTGGCTCGGCGTTAATGAGGGGCGATGCTGTCCCAGGGCAAGGACAGGACAGCCAGACTTTCTGGCAGCTGATGCTTGAACAGACTCCGGAGGTTGTTTCGTTTCCTGGTGGGCAGACGTCTGTCGTGCAAGCCCTGGGAGGCAGCTTAACAATAATAATAATGACAAAAATAATAGAAACCCTCTGCATGTGTGTCTGTCTCCTGCAGCCTGGGACCATGGGGAGCAGCAAGAGCAAGCCCAAAGACCCAAGCCAGCGCCGGCGCAGCCTGGAGCCCACCGATAACACCCACCACGGGGGCTACCCGGCCTCGCAGACACCCAGCAAGGCGGCCGCTCCCGACACCCACCGCACCCCCAGCCGCTCCTTCGGGACCATGGCTGCCGAGTCCAAGCTCTTCGGAGGCTTCAACACCTCCGACACGGTCACCTCGCCGCAGCGTGCCGGGGCGCTGGCTGGTCAGTGTGGGCTCGGCGGGGCGGGGAGGGTCGCCGGTGGGTCTCTGTGGGTTTTGTTCCAGCTGCTTCTTGTGATGAGGGGGTGGCCTGCTTTTGAGGGGCTCTGAGCTGGAGGGGGAGCAGATCGGTGTGTTAGCAGGTGATGGGAGGGTGGTGGGAGAGGAGGGTCGCCCAGCGCCGTGCCGCGGCAGTGCCGGTGGCTGTGCCCGGCCTGAGTGCTCTCCGTCGCAGGTGGAGTCACCACCTTCGTGGCCCTCTACGACTACGAGTCCCGGACCGAAACAGACTTGTCCTTCAAGAAAGGAGAGCGTCTGCAAATCGTCAACAACACGTGAGTGTCCCTGTCCCTGCAGCCAAGGCCGCGTGGGTGAGCTGCCACCTTTGTCCCTCCCGCGGAGCCCCCTGAGCCCGGCCCCGGCAGGGCCAGCTCTCCCCGGGGATGGGTGCTCACAGAGGGGTGCGCCAAAACTCGCACGGACGCAGTGACTGGTCCGAGGACATCAGCGTTGGAGGCGATCATTTGCCTGCTCTCATGTCCTCCCAGCCCCAGCGCTGGTCACCGTTGCTTTTCAGCCTTGTCACCTCCTCTGCTCGCCGGCCAGTGCGGGGCCAGGTCCCTGCCAGTCCCCTGTCCCCATCAGTGCTCCGTTCCCTCTTGTTTGCCTGGACACATCTCCTCAGCTTTCCCCTGTGCTTGCACGGTGTCTCTGATCTCAGCTTCCCTCTTGACTCTTTTTTTCTCTCCTCTGTGCCACGCTGTCCTTTAGGAGAAAAGTGGACGTCAGGTGTGTATTGCAGATTATTACTATCGTTATTGTTGATGATCTTAAATGACAAAAGCCTGTCTGCTGCCCACTTTGGGGTAAGGTTGGGTGGAGCAGGGCTGGGAGGGGATGGTTGCCTGATGGTTTTGTGGTCAGTTGGGTTTGTCCTCCCTGGGCGACCAGGCTAGAGCGGGGAGCCCCTTCCCGTGCCGGGGAACTGCTCCATCCAGAGCTGTGTCTGCACCCAGGTGCTCTGAACCTGGCTCGCTTTCCTTGTCTGCGCCTGGCACCACTCTGCAGTCTCTTTTCGGTTGGCTCTCTGCTCCCTCCTGGCCCTTTTTGCATTTATTTGTACATTTTTTAATTTTATTTTTTGTGAGCGGCTCAGGGGACTCAATCACTAACTTAGGGGTCTGGCTCTCACTTGTTTGCTCTCCATCCTGGTCATAGCAGCACACCCATCGCTTGCTGCACCGAGCAGGGCAGTATGACCAGCTGGGAAATGCTCCTAAACATGATCCTGTACTAAACCCACATGTGGTCTCTCCTGACACAAGGCATAGACAGGCTGGAGCGTGACTGGCAGAGCTTCTGTCCCTAGCCATGGGGTCCCTGGAGTCTGCAACACCCACTGGCCCCTCTGCTGCTGCTGTCCAACCCGGGCACCCAAAACCGCTCTGCAAAGTCAAAGAGTGGAAGGACAAGGGAACATCCCGGGGGTGATATTTCTCCTGCAATCGTCAGGCAGTGATGCACAAACATGTTTTCAATTTGATCCTTGTTCCTATTCCAACGCTGTTTATGAATGGAGATTCATTTAATCTATGAAGTCCAAGATGTACAGGGCTTCAATGTTGCAGAAAAAACCTGAATTTGAGGGGTTTGGTGCTTCTTGATTTCATAGCCTCAGCAGCATACCAGCCCCAGGCTCGGGTTCTGGTTTGGGCTGTTACAAAGTGAGCTCTGCCCATTGAGGGGCCAGACTGGGCTCATATATGAGGGTTTTTTCTTTACACCTTATATGATGTCTGGGGTTTCAATATTTTTTTTCCCCTGCTGCCCTTGTCAGAGGCTCAGTCAGAGGGAAGGGTCAGGGTGTGATGGGCTCTGCAGCATTCTGGGGAGCAAAAGGGCTTTTTTTGGTGATGCAGCCCATCGGTGGTGAGTGCAGGATGGAGCTGATGACCTTCCCGGTGTCTGCCGCGGCTGCGTGGGTGCCCTTGGGGCTGTGGGGAGGGTGCTTGGGGTCAGCCCGGGAAGAGCTGGCAGGTCCTGGGCATGGCAGGAGCCCACGGCCACGGGGACGACTGGCCACCGGCGGCTTAGCAAGGTGGCTGTGGGTTTTGGCTGCTCTCCCGGGGCTGGGGTTGCGCAGGGCGAGAGGAGACGCCTCCACATCACTCACCTCCCTGCTCCTGCGTCCCGGCAAAGCCCAGGCTGTCTGAGGTGACCCTCAGCCTCCTGGATGGGCCAAATCCATCCACGCCAGTGCAGAAAGGCTCTCGTGGTACCACTTCCAGTGGGAGGAGGTCTCCAGGCAGCCAGCAGAGATGTGGTGGGGTATTTTGGGTAAGATTGTGCAGGGAGTTGTTGAAATGCTTTGTTTTGATGATGATGATTATTTTTTTCCCCGCTGAGACATTTTTGGAATAGTTTTTGCTGAATTCCCAGTTTGCAGCCTTGCAGCCCAAGCTGGAATAAAGCCACAAGTCAAAAGCTGGGCATTTCTTAAGCAGATGTTTTCTTCGGTCCTGTGGGAAAGGAGCCCAACCAGCCTCCTGTCCCCTTTGGAGCCATCTCAGTAAAGGTGACTGGGACAGCAGCTCAGGCTGGGGAGCCCACGCTACCTGCCACGAGACATACTGGTACCAGGAGAAGTTAAAATATCATCCAGGGCCACTGCGAGCTGGGGCCAGGCTCCGGGTGGGCAGCAGAGCCTGGCTGTGTGTTTGGGAGATGCTCTGAGCGTTCCTGCTTTCCCTGGCCCTGCTGGCACCAGGGTGGGGAGCTGGGGGCCATGTCCAGCTTCTCCCAGCTCCTTCGAAGCATCACTGGTTTAGCTGGGACAAGCAGAAGTGACAAACTTCTGGTGTGTCTGGAGAAAAGATAAAGGTTTGCATGTCTGCAGGGGCCAGGGATGGGTCTGGAGGTGATCTGATGGGTCTTTTAGTGGTGATTGAGGTTATTAGGGTTTTTCTGTAAAGTGTTTGTGGAGGTCGTCCTGCCAAGTTCTTGTATCCTTGCAGTGCTGTTCCCACAAATCTGCAGTTTTCCCATAGCCTCGTCTGCCTTCTGCTCAGGATAAATTAGGTGACTCTGTCTTTGGTGGGTGAGAAGATGCAGGTGGTGGGAGGAAGCCCTGCTGTCTGTGGGGAAGGGAAAGCTGCCTCCTGCCGTCCGGTTCTTCTCTATTTATTGTCCTTTCATGCCTCATCCTGGGCAGGAGCCTGCGGGTAGGAGGGCAGAGCAGTGAGAAGTCTCCCTTGCCCTGCCAGCTCCTGGGGACGTGCTTGGGGCCACCATGCCCAGGGCAAGAGGGACAGCAGGTCAGCCCCAGATTTTTGGGGATGGCACGGGGGCTCCCGCAGGACAGAGCTGTGCTCAGGACCGTGGGTGTGCAAGCAGTCGTGCAACCAGGGCCGTGGGGGAGCTCGTGGTCAGGGGCAGTGGCCGTACAGGGTGCCCAGCCCGGGGCTGCAAGCGGGGCACCCGAGCTGGATGGAGCCCGCGGCATCCAGGCTGGGCATCGCTGCGGGGCAGGTCTCACCCCCCCACCCTCTGCCCAAACCTCAGCCCTATCCTGTTGCTTTTCTGCAGCCTGTGTTTAACAAACTCTCTTGGGTTTTCCTGGTGCTTTTTTTTAATCGCTGCCAATCGTTCTGTCCCTTTCGCCCGTTTCCCCTGCCTCACCTCGTCGCTCCCCGCTGCCTGGGCTCCCCAATGCCTCTCAACCTCCAGCCAGACCCCGTTTGCACTCAGATGGCTCCAAAGGTATTTTGGCTGCCCTGCCTGATTTAAGATTAAAGCATCCCCTATGTGGATGGCTGGCCCTAATATCGAGAGCTTGCCAAAACAGAGCCACGGGCAGGGGCTGGCAGCAGGAGCCCTCCTGGCCGGGGTCCGGCTGGGGGCTGCGGGGGCTGCACCCCTTCCCGGCAGGGCTCTGCGCTGGCTTTCCCCTCCCCGGCCCCGGTGCCTGCGGGCAGGAGACGGGCTGGCCGGGGGGCTCCTGGCTTCACACTGAGTGTGTTTTGGTTCTCTTGCAGGGAAGGTGACTGGTGGCTGGCTCATTCCCTCACTACAGGACAGACGGGCTACATCCCCAGTAACTATGTCGCGCCCTCAGACTCCATCCAGGCTGAAGAGTAATTGCCATTTTTTAGACAGTTTAAAGACAAGTGATAGCAAACACACCTTGAGCACTCCCCCTGCCCCTCTCCTGGGCAAAACCTGCAAGGCCTCTGGGTTTTTCCTTTTTGTCATTTTTCCCCTTTGAATTTGCGAACACCTTAAACACTTTCCAGCTTTTCTTTAAGGCCCATAAAGCGCGGAGGTGCGGCGTGCTTGCATGGTGGAGGGATGAGTGGTGGCATAGCAAGGGCCGTGCTGGACCTGATGCTTTTGGTCTGGTTTTTACCCTTCTGCGTGGACACACATCCGTGCGCGAGGATGCTGCCGGCTCTGCCTGTGCAGGTCACGCTGAGCACAGAGGCGACCGTCACACAGGGGGAGCAGGCAGGGGCAAAGCTGGCCATAAATCCAAGAGCAGGAGGTGCCAGCCATGTCCCCAAAGCCTGTCCCCAGCCAGCGGCCTGGCATCCCCCCAGCAAGAGGTCGGGAGGCTTCAGTGGTCCCCAGAGCCCCTTGTTTGGGGAAGCTTTTAGAGTGAAGATGTTTAGTAGTGTGTGGTGCAGGATGCCCAGCCTGGGCTGTACAGGGGCACGGTGCACCCCGAGGTGCCCAAGCTTGGAGATGGAGCCTGGGGTCCCTGAAATCTGCGGGGGGGGGTGGGGGGGGGGCAGAGCCAGGGCTGAGCCCACCACTTGGAAAGGTGATGGAGAGGGGCTGGGTGAGTGGCGGGCGCTGAGCCGCTGCCTTGCTCTCGCAGGTGGTATTTTGGGAAGATCACTCGCCGAGAGTCCGAGCGGCTGCTGCTCAACCCCGAAAACCCCCGAGGGACCTTCCTGGTCCGAGAGAGCGAGACCACGAAAGGTGAGTGGGGCTGGGGGGGGGGGGGGGGGGCCAGCCTGGGGGTCCCCCTCTCTGGGGAGGTGGGGGGGCATCTGTGCAGGGACCCCGGTCCCCTCAGTCGCTCCACGTGGTCTCAGTTCCCCCAGCTTAGGCTCACGGGGAGGGAGAAGGAGAAATGTGTGGTGCCTTGCAGACAGGAGGCAATGTTCAGGGTTGCTGAGCGATGCCCCCCAGCACGAGCAGCCTCCTGGGGCCTCCCCCACCAGTGCTGGTCCCCAGGGAGCAGGTGCTGACGCACCCGTTAAATCACTGGTGACATCTCTATGCCAAATGGGCCGTTACACCAACAAACCTTCCACCCGTGGAGCGATGCAGCCGCTTCTCTCCCACCACTGCCCACCCAGTGGTCGCTCTTCAAAGAGATGGTTCAGTTCATGGCTGGGTGGGAGCTGGGGGCCTCACCAGCTCTGGCAGGACCACCCGGCAGGATACCCTTTTTTTTCCCTGTCTTTTTTTTTTTTCACATCTCCAAATAAATGTGTTTTGTTTTTTCCTGGTCCCTATATAGTGGTAAAATCTTGAACATGTGCTTCCTGGGCAACCAGGCAGAGGCAGTAATGAATTTTTAGGTCCTTCTTTCAAGTCTAATGACTCTTTATACTTGTTTTGTGCCTCCTGAAAGTGCAAGTTGTGATCTTTGCAGTTCAGCTGCCTGAGGATGCTGTTTCTTACCTGGAAATGTGGTTTAGTTTGGCTCCAAATGCACCTTTGGGAAAAGCTCCTTGATGTTCCTTTCTGTTGTGATGCTTTGAACTTGCCACTATTTATTTTATTCCAGTGGAAACATTTCACTCACGCAGCAGCATAAACCTTCCCTTTTGTTATTTGTGGCCCCAGCAGGACAGTGTTGCTCTCGTGTGGGCAGAGCAGAGGCAGACGCCTGAAGCGGTGCCCACGGTGGGATTTGTGGAGCAGGGACTTGGGCCCCCAGCCCCTTGTCTCCCCTCTGAGATGCCGCGATGTTGGGGTTGTGGGTCAGCAGCTCCTCCCAGCCACCTCCTGTCCCATCCTCTCCCCTGCTTCAGCATCCCCCCCTTTGCCGCTGGAGCTGGGTTCATCCCTGCGCCCGGAGGGGCTGCTTGCCCTCCTGCCCGCTGGATCCCCCCAAACCCAGCAGAGTCTCTTCCTTGGTGCTCGTCTTGGGGGCACAGGCCATCCCCACAATGCTGGAAGTTGTGGTTACGTGGCGTGGCTGTAGCCAGGGGTACGTGCCATCCCTCCCTGGCACGAGGTGCCAGCTCGTGCAGCCAGGAGCTGCTCCCCATCCTCTGCCTTTGGGTGAAAGCAGCATGCCCAACCCTCCTCCCCCACACCCACGCCCCCGGTGGGACCCCACGGGGAGCACCCGTGTGTGGAACATCTCCCCCCCAGCCCCTCGGTCCTGCCCGCAGGTGCCTACTGCCTCTCCGTCTCCGACTTCGACAACGCCAAGGGGCTCAACGTGAAGCACTACAAGATCCGCAAGCTGGACAGTGGCGGCTTCTACATCACCTCCCGCACCCAGTTCAACAGCCTGCAGCAACTGGTGGCCTATTACTCCAGTGGGTAGCCACTTGGGGTCCCCTTGGGGTCTGGGTGACACCCTGGGTGCTGTGCCTGCCCCCGCTGCAGGACGGGTGCTGCTGGGAAGCCAGTGCAGGGTTGGGGGATCCCAAACCAGTTGGGAGGGACCCTGGTGAAAAGCTGCTTGGGTTTTAGGGAAGAGGGTGAGAGTTTGGGTACGGGTCCCCGAGGTGTTTTGCAGAGATGTGGGGTAAAGACATCATTTGCCTAAATGCCCAAATATCACCCCGGTGTTGTCCCCTCCTGTGCTAGAACACGCCGACGGCTTGTGCCACCGTCTCACCAACGTCTGTCCCACGTCCAAGCCCCAGACCCAAGGCCTTGCCAAGGATGCCTGGGAAATCCCCCGGGAATCGCTGCGGCTGGAGGTCAAGCTGGGGCAGGGCTGCTTCGGAGAGGTGTGGATGGGTAAGGACCATTCCCACCCCGCTGTCCCCGCACTGTGTCACCACCTGCATCCTCTCCCCGACCGTCTGCAGGTGCCCTGAGACTGCAGTGGGGTGGGGGAGCAGGCGAGGGACGTGGCCCCCTGCCCTGTAAATGTATCCTGAGCAGCGTGTCCTGTGCGGCAGGGACCTGGAACGGCACCACCCGGGTGGCAATCAAGACGCTGAAGCCCGGCACCATGTCCCCGGAGGCCTTCCTGCAGGAGGCCCAGGTCATGAAGAAGCTCCGGCACGAGAAGCTGGTTCAGCTCTACGCCGTGGTTTCGGAGGAGCCCATTTACATCGTCACCGAGTACATGAGCAAGGGTGAGCGCAGGAGGGATGCTGGGGGGGGTGGCCGAGGGGCTTTTCTCCACTGCACTGCTGTGACCGTGGTCTTCCTCACAGGGAGCCTCCTGGATTTCCTGAAGGGTGAGATGGGCAAGTACCTGCGGCTGCCCCAGCTCGTGGATATGGCGGCTCAGGTGGGTTTGTGCATCCCCCGGCCTCCCACATCCCCTTCTGAGGGCACTGGCTGCCCGAGCACCTCGCTGGGTTGTCGTGGCTGTCGCCTGTCGGGTGGTGGGGTGCTCCGCAGCCTCACTGGGGTGGGTGCCACCATCCCCACTGGGTGCTCAGCCCAGAGCTGGGTTGCAGGCAGGGACCATCATTTTGCCCGTTCCCATTGCTGCTGGCTCTCCCCGGCCAGCAAACCTGAATCTGTGTGGGTTTTCTTGAGCAACCAGCTGTTCCCACACCCTGGGTGGGCTCCTTGGGGACCCTCACATCACCCCACCAGCCTCCGTGCCCCATGTGCCGGTCCCCACAGATCGCGTCTGGCATGGCCTACGTGGAGAGGATGAACTACGTCCACCGGGACCTCCGGGCAGCCAACATCCTCGTGGGGGAGAACCTGGTGTGCAAAGTGGCCGACTTTGGCTTGGCACGCCTCATCGAGGACAACGAGTACACGGCTCGGCAAGGTGCGTGCCCGGCGCTGCCAGCACCATGCCCAGGCAGGCGGTACCGGCGCGATGCCGCTGGTCCCCAGGGGTGTGTGCGATGCATCTCAAGCCGACCCATGGCCCTGGTTGCACGGGGGTCCTGGAGGCACTCACAGCCCCACACCCCCCCCGCCCCGGGCACCGCAGGGCCAGGAGCAGCCCCTTACCCTGCCTCTCCATCCAGGCGCGAAGTTCCCCATCAAGTGGACGGCTCCCGAAGCTGCTCTGTACGGCAGGTTTACCATCAAGTCGGACGTCTGGTCCTTCGGCATCCTCTTGACCGAGCTGACCACCAAAGGCAGAGTGCCCTACCCAGGTGAGGGCTGGCAGCTGCCAGCAGAACCCCCATCCCCACTGCGGTGCCCCAACACCGGCTGCCTGTGCCCAGCGCTTGCCCCTGGTGCTCTGTGTTCCCCAGAGCCGTCTTTGCGGAGGAGCAAACGGATGCAAGGTTTTTCCTGCAGTTTGGGCAGGGAGGGTGGGCTCCAGGGTGAGCTGCCCCTGCCCAGGTCCCGGGCAGAGCCTGGGCAGCCTGCAGGGTCACAGCCACCCTGTCTTGCTCTAGTCCCCAAACAAGGTGACGGGCTGGCAGGGATGAGCACTGTTGGGCTGAGGGGTCCCTCCCTCCCTGAGTCACCGAGGTTGCCCACAGGGCTTGTCCCAGCCTCGTGCCCTCGGTGTCCCCGCCGGGAAAGGTGCGGTGCAAAATCTGACCCGGGTCTAATCAATGCCACATCTCCTCTGGCCGCCCGCAGGGATGGTGAACCGAGAAGTGCTGGACCAGGTGGAGCGGGGGTACCGCATGCCCTGCCCGCCCGAGTGCCCCGAGTCCCTGCATGACCTCATGTGCCAGTGCTGGCGGAAGGACCCGGAGGAGCGACCCACCTTTGAGTACCTGCAGGCTTTCCTGGAGGACTACTTCACCTCGACAGAGCCCCAGTACCAGCCCGGCGAGAACCTATAGACCCGGAGCTCGGGTCCTGGCACCAGGGACGTTGCCGTCCTCGCCGCAGGGCGCCGAGGGCTGGCCTCCCCGCCGAGGAGCCGGTTTTTTGAGGAGCAGCCCCGGAGCGGGATGGGGCATCATCTCCAGATGCGGCCAGGGGAGGTGCTGGGTCCCCCCATCGCTCATTAAGACTTCTGACCCATGTTTAATGAAGCGGTGGTGTCCCGCTGGCAAGAGGAGCCTGCAGGCACCGGTGGAGCCGGCTCGGGAGGACGAGCAGAACATCTCCTGCTGAGAGACTTGGCTTTCGGGGGACCTTTCCCCCCACAGCAGCTCTGGGGTGAGCCTGGAGGAACTGGGGTACAGTGTCACCCCACCTCGGACACACGGCCCCGGTCTCCTGCACCCCCTTTCAAAATCAGCACAAATTTCCCTGCCCCTTCACCCTCCCCGCCATCCCCCCCTTGGCTCCGCTTCTCCCCAGGGCGCCGGCAGAGACGTTTCGCCCCGGGGAGGGCACAATCCCTGGCTGGTTCGGAGGGGGCGGTGGTGGCAGCGGAATGCTGGTGGTCCCCCTTCCTCGGGCATCGCTCTGGCCTCACTGCGGCCTCGCTGGCAGCGTGAAATGTGGCTCCTCATGGCTCCAGCAACCGACACCATCCCGTGGGAGCACCTGGGCGCGGGTTCGCATCTTCCAGCTGCGTCTGTCCCCCCAAGGGGCCCCTCTCATCTCTCCTGGGAGCGGTACCAGGGGGGTGCCGGCAGAGCCCTCGCCCTGCCTGCGGCCAGCTCCATCACCCCGGCTGCGATTTCTCCCACCAAGCACTCCTGGTCTTCCAGCTGGGCCCCTGGGAATTGCACCGCAGCCCTTCCCGGTTCCACCACCAGCTCTCCCACTGGCCGAGTCCCCCCGGGCTGGCCCTGCCACCAAATCCAGTGCCACCATGCGGCTTAGGTGCATGGCATATGTGGCTGTTCAGGGTGCAGGAGTGTTTTAGGGGAAATACTCGTCTTTCACAGATGCTTTTGTCCATCTGATACATTTTTAGCTGCCTTCCCCCCACCCCTCATGTCTAACTGCTGGGCTGCAGTCCCCATGCAGCAGAAGCAACCGCAGCCGTGGGCGACCATCCTGGAGGGGAGTCCTGGGAAGCGCTGTGCTGCATGGGAGACATTTGCACCCTCATCCCCCTCCTTGCTCCCTCCCAAAGGCCTCAGCTGTGTTTTGGCAGTGTGTGTCTATCTGTGCCCAGCTTTGCCCCCCCACCGAGCCCCTGCACTCTCCTGCCCAGCACCTGCTTGTACATAGCCCTCGAGCAGTCCCCGTGCCCTCCCAAACGTTGACTTAGTTGCATGTGTTGATTTATTTTCCCCCTCCTGTGGCTGTACCCAGCTGGAAACCCTTCACCGTGGTGGCTCACAAGACTTCGCTCCCTCACGTCTTGGGTCCGGGGGACCCTTGCTCAGAAAGACCTGGGGGCTCTTCAGCTGCTCTCCTGGCCCGGGGGTGGGATGGGGGCTCGAGGGGGTGCTGCGGGGCAGGGGTGCTGGTACACACCGGTGGGAAGGACCCGAAGTGGGGAGCCAGCAGCTTCGCCCACCTCTCGGTCCTCTGGCAGTGGGCTTTCTTTGCTTCTCTGTTGCTTATGGGATGGGGTTTCCCTCCAGCACAGCCTCCTTGCAGGCAGCAAACCCAAACCGCCTCTCGCCAGCCCCCACTGTGGTGCCGGTGTCCTGTGAAAGCCGGGTGGGAGCTGAGGGGTGACCAAAACCCCCTCCCCAAACCTCTGCCGGAGCAGGGCACAGGCACGCTGCTGCCTTCCACTCACTCCCGCAGCTCCACAGCTGCTTATTTATGAACCAAGTGCTCACTTGGTTGGTTGGTGGCTCCTTTTTAATGAGTAAAACCTTCGAAATCAGCTTGAACAGCCTCTTCAGAAGTATGGAGAGATCCTGCTGGCTTAGGGAACAGCAACTGGTTTAATGGATTTTTTAAAAATCATTTGGGGACTTGGAGCCTTTTCTCCCCACTTCCTAGCAGATTTGCTGTGCCCAGTGTTCAGGCAGGGACTCTCCAAAACTCGATGTTCTGGGTCTTTCCATATTTGCATCCCTGGGATGGGCACTGCCACATCCCCGTCGGTGCTGCGAGAGAATCCCCATCCCACGGCAGCTGGTCCGAGGGGTGGCCTGTGCCATAGCTCTGCCTAAATTATACAAAATCCCCATCCTCGGGAGAAACCTCTTTAAACTAACGTGCGGAAGCCAGATTTGATCTGAAAGCTGGGGAGAGAGAAGGCAAGCACCCATGCTAAGGTTTGGCCTTTGGTTGTCTGCAGCACATACAGGGTCTTGCAGGAGCGCAGCGGGACAGGAACGGGCTTGACCCAGTGGTTTCATTTTCCAGCTCTTTCCGGCAAGCGGCAGGGCAGGAACACAGCCTTGGCATAAGGAACACCCCAGGCTGGCTTAATTCCCCATGGCTTTTGGCAAGCTCTGACGAAGGAATCATGCTGGGGACATTTCAGGGCAGAAGTCGGTAGAGCAATCCCCGAGGAGCTCTCCTGCACGGGGCTGGGGCTGTGTGTCTGCATGTCCGTGTGTCCATCCGTGTTTCTGTGCAGCAGTTTCGGTGGGACCCAGCATCTCCAGACTCGCCGCTGCAGCCAGCATGACGCAGAGGCCCTGGGGATCGAGAGCCTCTCCTCCATCACCATTGTCGTCTGCCAATTTATTTTTTAAGCCAATAAACTCCAGAGGGGAGCCCCCACCTAAGGATGCTCTTTGGCTTCCCAGGGTCAGTAATGCCCTACAAGTTATTCTTCACTGCTGTTATAATTTTTTTAAACAGTGTTTTGTAAGATCTCCAACTGACTATGCAGAGAACATGTGGATCTGTCTCTCTCCCCAGCTCCCCTCCCCCTCCACCTGCCTTTTTCAGTGTCTAAGTAAAATATTTAGCTTTTTTTTTTTTTTTTTTTTTTTTGGATAATAATAAAACTTTGGAAAAAAAATTAGAAGGTCCGGTTTTGTGGGTGGTGGGGGGTGGAGATGCTTTGAAACTCTAATGTTGATGTAAATACTTTGCAATTTGGTAATTAAATACAAACAGACCTCATAAAAAAAAAAAAAAAAAAAAGTGTAGCTCCTGTATGAGAGGACTCCTAAGCATCCTTGTTACAGGAGTCGGTGGTTCCTGGAACACGTGCAACACCTGTGTATGGCTCCTGGTGCTTCAGAGACTTTTTCTGGCCAATACTTCTGGGATCTGGTGCCACTTCTGTCCTGCTGGAGCCATTCCTGTGTCCCCAGGTGGGCTCACGGTCCAGTGCAGCCCCAGCGCTTGCTCCGAGGGCCAGGGCCAGCCGGCTGCCAACCCCCATGGGCAGGGGGGGGACAGGGCACGGGGGCGACTCTCCCTTCAGCAGAATCTGCTTCATCAGCAACTACAAGAAGTAGGCCTTCCTCGTTAGGATAATTAGTGGGTGCTGATTGGGATCTCTCACTTGGTGATTAAGTAATTGATATATAGCACAGTGTTGGGGGGGGAACAGGCCTTCTGAAAGCAGGGTGGCTGCTGCTGCTGCTCCTTCACCACCACCACCACGGTCTGGGGGGGCTTTAGTGCCCCAGCACCCCCGGGTCTGGCTGTTCCCTCCTCCTCGGGCTGGTGAGTGACTCAGTCTTAGCACCTTAAATGTTTAATGCTTTATGTTTTGCTTCTCTTTAAAACAATTAAGTGATTGAGGGATTATCTCTCGTCAAAAAGTCCCTTGGTCTGTGCAACGTGTGGGCTGGGGGTGGGCCAGTGGGGTCGCCCTCGGCGGGGAGCTGGGGTCGAGACTCTTGCAGCCCTTGGGTTTGCCCCTTCGGCGTCGCTGCTCGGGAGCAGGGTGGCCATGGGGATGGTGTACGGGGGAGGTCGGGGTGCTGCGGTCCAGCCTGAGCCCTGGAGCAGCGTGGGTGTCAGCGGTGGGACGTGCCCTGGGGAGGAGTGAGCTGGATTTGGTACTTCCATGCCCTGCTTATGGCACCGCTCACTTCCTTTGCTCTGTAACTAGTTCTCGGCCTTGGTGGCAGCTGAAGCGTCTTAAAAAGATGGTTGGGGCACTTGCCCATACCTGCAGCCCACCCCAGCCGTGCTCGGTGGTTGTTTTGCCGTGGAGTCATTCCCCTCAGCCCAGTGGGAGCCCCTGCCAGGTGTCCCCAGCCCGAGCAGGGCAGATGCTCCTGGGGATTACACCACATGCCTCCTTTAACGGACTTAATCTTGCTGTTTGCTTCCCACTCACATTGTGCCCTGTAAACCCGGGAGAGGGATTTGGGTGTTAGGGTGGGGACCATGGTGTCCCCACAGCAGGTCTGGTGAGGAGGTGGGCGCCCTGTGCTGGGCTTGTGCAGGCGATGGGCTTCTAAAATGGCAAGGATGAGTTGTTGTTTGGCCTGAACCTCCCCTTTGCTTTTCCCAGAGCTCAGTGGTAGCACCCCAAAAGCACATCAAGTCCTGGCTCTTGACCCAGGCTCCCAAAGGATAAATGCTTGTGAGTAGATGGGGGCCAGCCCTGAACTGCTCGGAGTGCCGAGGATCCCCCAGAGCAAATCTTGGGCTGTGCTGTGGGTCTGGGGTCTCTCCCATAGCCCAGCCCCAGCAGAAAGGCTCGTGAGGAGGAGCAGGGTGTTTGTTAAAGGGCTGGCTCACCGCGGGGCTGTGCCCCAGTGCCAGGCGCTCGGGTCCCACTGGCCCTGCTGCTCCAGCCCCCGCCGTGCCGGCTGCTTGCTGGTGGCTGGGGAGTGAACAGGAGGCTGCCGGCACACGTCGACTGAGAGGACAAAGCCTCTCTCTGTCCCCTGCAGACTCTGCCACTCGGATCTCACCCCCCTCCAGCAGCAGGTCTGGATGGCACCCAAGCCATCCGTCCTCCCTTGCCCTTTTACCAGAGGATTTGCCTTTTCTCAGAGGAGTAGCAAAACCTTCTTGCCAAGGGTTAATCTCTGGGCTCCGGAGGGAAAGGCTAAAGTCCTTACCCGACGTGTAGCTTACCTATGGTTGCTGAAAGCTAGGAAACCGCTCTGATGCAAGGAGCAAGAGACAGGCAAGACCAAAGGGCACTGGCAGGCCAGGGCTCAGCTCTCTGTGGCCCTGAGTGACGTTTGTGGCTTCCCTGGCTCGGGGGGTTTGGCCGGACCATCCCCGGGGGTGACAGCACGAGGGGATGAGGTTGGAGGCCATCAGAGCCCGGTGTGATCAGCAGCAGGGCTGCCTGAGCTGGCCAGGGGTGCTTCCAGCACAAGCAGCTCCTCAGTGGGATCAACCTCTCTCCTCTGCTGCTAAGTTAATAAGGTCACATTGTGGGCTTGTCTCAGGGTAAGCAGGGACAGCATCGAGCAGGAGGCACTACTTGCCTGGCAAGATCCAGGGATGGATGGGCAGATGCTGGGAGAGTGGGCTGGTGGCCGTGGTGGCCCCGGGCAGCTGGTTCCCTACCTGCACCCCGAGCAGCGCTGGGGAGCTCGACTGCCAAGCAGCAGCCCCCGAGATGAGATGCACCAACGTGGAAGTCCAGCAGATCTAGGGTTCAAAAAGCTCTACCAGCCTGGTAGTCGTGGCCAAGTCTTCCCAGTGGGAAGCCTCGTGGTGTCCCTGTTGGATGCTGCTTCTCCCTGACGAGTGTTGAGGAGGGGAGTGAGAAGCCCCCAGACCCCGAGGTTGCAGGGGGGAGCCCGAGGTTTGCCTGAGCTAAGCTGCATCTCTGTTTCTAGGGATCTGAGCCTGGGGTTTTTTTGGTGTTTTTTCCTTTCTTGACCCTGCTGTGTCACTGATCTGTTATGTGACCTAGAAAATGACCTCTCTTTCCAATGGAAAGACAAAGGCACAGCTTAAGGCTCCTGCTCTCTGCATCCAGGGAGTGCCAGGCAGATGGACGCTCTATAATACAGCAAGGTGATGAGATGCTCTGTGCCAAAGCCCTTGCGGGCAGTGTCCAGGCTCAATGGGACCTGGCACAACACAGTGGTTGTGTTTTAAACCCCACTGCTTTCAGTCGTTAGTGTGGGTGCCTGCCCACTGCTGTGGTCCCCACACAGAGACCCTTGGTGCCTCCGGGACACCAGGGGACAGAGCCACTCCACTGCTCTTTTGGCAGAGAAGCTCCTTGAGATGAGGGCAGAACATCTCTGAGCTTTCTTCTGTGCAGCCAGCAAGGCCTGCCTGAGAGCACAGGTGCTGCAATCGTCCAGGCTCAGTCCAATCTGCCATGCACAGGCAGGGAAGCCGGGATGATGCTTTTAAAAGCCATCGGGTTTGACCTGTTCTGCAGTCACAGGCTGTTTTTTCACAGTCTCTTTATAGAGGACAAGCAGGGCCATTAGCATGGGATGTGAGACCTGGTTGGGTTCCTCACTCTGCCTGAGGCTTTCTCTCTGACAGTGACAAAGTTGCTTTAATTTTCTATCTTTAAAATGAAGATGGTATCGCCGTGCCCTAGAGAGGGCAAGACAGTGTGCTGGTGAGGGCTGGGTGCATATCAAAGAGTGCTCTTTAACTACAGTTGAGGTGGGAGAGCTGTAAGAAGTAGGTTTGTTAAGCATCAGTCTGCTGAGATCTCTCCTGTCGCTACACCAGCAGCTTTCCCCTTTTGAAGTGTTTTTTTCTCCAAGTCGGCGTCTCGCAGAAGGGGAAGCCTGCAGCTGCGTCTTGTCTTGAGCCTCGTGTACAAAGCCAGGGCTTGCTCTCATCCAAAGGACTGTCTGGCTTCGTGGCTAGGATTTATTTAAATCGCTGTAGAGTGCAACTTGGCTAGTTAGCAGCAAATACATACTCTTAAAAAGAACTGATTGCATTAGCTTAAATGAATTTAAACTTAAAAGCTGCTCAGAGCACAGACAACAGTCTTGCTATAGTTTGCAAACGTGAGGCCTTCCTCCCTCCTTTCTATTTGTTATTTATGCTGAAGCTGGTATGACAGCTACTGGGACTTCCCTCTGCTTGACAGGTGACAGAGCTGTCACATCTATTCTTGGTGATGTGGCACATGCTTTTTTTTTTTTTTTTTTTTTTTTTTTTTTTTAGACATGTAAACACTGATATGCTCTGAACCCTTTCCAACTTGGAATCGGTCTTCAGGGCTAGGAGCAAGGGTAGAGGAAGCTGTTAGTAGCTCCAGCAGCACTGGTTAACTCTAAGGTGCTCCTGGGTGCTGTTGGACCCCACAGCCCCGTGTCTGGCTGCAGCACGTGTCCCCCAGTACCACACGGGGTCATGGCCAAAGCTGGGGAAGGGCTGACACAACCCGATCTCCCTGGGGATGGCTGAGGTTGATGGCAGCTGGGTTGCAGCCTGGTCTCTGCCCACAGCAGGGGGTCAGGTCAGGAAGATGTGGAGCTCTAGGACAGGCTCACACTGCGGAGGCACCTGGCAGGTAACGCTTCTACTGCCAGTGCTGGGGATCAGGCAGCTCTCAGGACACAGCTCTGGTTTAATTTCGTAAGCGGTAAGGAAAGGGGGAATCTGTCACACAAGTGCAGAGATACAACCAGAAGCGAGCTCCTGTGCTGTGTGCAAGATGAGTCTGTTTGGGAATTGCCAGTATGGTCCTCAGTGTGCCCACAGTCAGGTTAAACAGTTAATGAGAAGGGTCAGTCCTGGGAGCTACAGGGCAAACAGGCTCTGCCTCTTGCTGGAGACTCCGGGGTTACTCTGCTGGGAACAGAACAATACAGACACATGATTTCTGGGCTGAGGCATGTGTGATGAACACCCAATGCATCATGCTGGGCAGGAGGCCACAGACCAAAGTTTATAAAGCTTTATTAAACATTTTGAACAGCTGTGCAATAAACAAACAATACTCTGAAAGTTTCACAACCTCATAGCATGAACTTCCTAGGAACAGCAACAGCCACTTCTGCTGCTCTCCACTACGAGAACCCTTTAAAGTTTAGAGACAATATTTTGTGTTAACCTCTAAGGTTTCTCACAAATCTCTGCCCCAGGTGGGGCTCCCCAAGAGTCATGGCTGCAGAGTAATGTATGCAGCGTGGAGGTCTGCGCAGCTGTGGCGTGTAGGACTGACCCACCACCATCCAGGCTTCTTGACATCCTTCTGCCAGGGGAGATGGAGATACCAAGTACTCCTCTAGCTTCCTCCCTTCTCCGGCCAGTAGCACCAGCACCTTCTGTCACCCCTGGCCCAAAACCACTGTCACTGAAGCACTTACTGCTTCAAGCCATGCCTCCACCTCAGGATCACATCCTGCCCTGCCCACAGCTGGCCTTTTAGGCTAGCATGAGTTTTATAGGGTGAGGTTCACAGCGGCTTTCAAAACCCCAAATCTTGCAGCATACTGGTTCTTTAATCCAACAGTCAATACCTTGATAAACCTGGAAATCTAGGAGGAGGGGAAGAGAAAGTCTCTACTATCTGTGAGGCTTTATAAAAGCAGCAGCATAACTGTGGCTTTCAGGCTATGATCTCGGAGCATAAGTAGTTCAGAAAGCACTTCGGCAGTGCACGCATCTCTTTGGCAGGCTGAGCAGGAGGAGATGACTCAACCGCCTCTGGCTCCAGCAGCTTTTGGCCAAGTGCATCTGTGAGCTGTCGAGCTTGCCCTTGATCAGCAAGGTGGGAAGGCTGGCTCCCCACAAAGAGGAAGAGGGAGAGAATCTTGTAGCTACTCGAGCAAAATCAGTGGGCTGAGAGCCCCGAGTTAGACCACCTCGGCCTAATGCAGACGAGTGACACACAACTCCACTGCTGTGCAACACCTGGACAGAGGCCAGCAGCTCGGTCCTCCACCAGTTCTCAGGAGGGCTGGTGTCCGTTCCCGGTGATACGGAAAGGAAAAAAGATTTCTGCTTCTAAAAAAGCAGGTGGCGCTGCCAGAGTTCACACAGTAAACAAGTTGAATTTCACAGGCAGAGTGGAGGAATTTGCCACTCTAGTCCACACAGAGTTACAGGAAACAGGCGGTTTTTACTCCAGTCACATGCCTAACACCCCCTCCCTCCTCCCTAGCCCACCCCCTTTTTAAAAGCAAAACAAAAGCCCTCAGCAGACTGGAAGTTTATTGTTTTCTAGGTGCCCACTATGCTAGGATCATGAGCTGATTCCGGCAACTGGGATCCTGTGCAGTGATACAAGAAGCAGTTCCCCCAGCAGCTGTAGCAGATGAGGAATAGAGCTGCCAGGAAGACCAAGGCACAAATCGTGCAAGGTTTCCGTTCCAGGAGGAAACTGAGCAGGTAGAAGCCCATGAACATTGAGTGACTGAACCACAACGCTGGGTTGAGGGGCTTGGGTATGAGCAGGACAGGGAGCAACCACTGAAGGCAGTACATTGCGGCTGGCTGGCTGGGGCTTTGCAGCAGCAGCAATCAGATGTGAGCCAGAACAGTCTCCAGCAACTCCTTCGGCAGGCCAGCTGTTCTGTAGAGAGGGGTAAAATATCAGATTGTCAGAGAAACAGAAAAATCAACAGACATTCTTCTACAATTTCATTTACTCCCAAGCATTGTCTACTGATGCTTGAACTTCCAGTACTAAACTCTGGTGTGTCTCAGAGCTGGTGGAAAGTTTCTTGCTTTCTGAACCACTCAGCTGGGGACATATGTTGCTGGTGTAGAAGTGTATCCCTTGTGTCCTCTGTTTCTCAGGCCTTTACCCAGGCTGAGAGTTGTGAGACCCTTTTCTTCAGCATAGTGCAGGAACAGAAAGGGAGAGGGGGAAACAGAGAGGAAACCAAGCTGCTACAGCCTTCCCTACACGTGTATTTATCCAAGACCATTCAAAGACTTGAGTGATGGTATAAAGAAATGCAATTGAGGGGTAAACTATTATGTGCCACAGAAAAGTGTTAAGGAAGCATTAACGTAAGAAGTGTCTAGGAAGTGTTAAGAGCATAAACTGCTTCCTCCCCAGACATGGGCACGTTATAAAGTCTTCCAGTAGGACAGCATAAAATTCAAGCTATCCATGTAGCTACCCAAGAAAGCTCTGACAGTGTCCAGGCTGCAAAACAAAGGGCAGGACAGTCCCTGCTTAAGGGATTTATAATCCTTGCCAATCAGCTAAAGTCAGATAAGACACCGTATGTGAACGGATCAAAGAGGGGACAGTCTCAAAATGGCAATTTTCGTAAGTGCTGTAAACACAGGATTTCCTCATATGGATTATTATAAAACCCTGGGGAAGCAGTGAGCTTTAAGGGCTTCTCTAACTAGGGATGGCAGCATACTGTAAGCCCCAAACCCACACTTCTACCTTTAGCAAGCATATCAACTACACTAAGCGTGTGGGTGCTTTTTTCTTTCTAAGCTGTACAGACATCTTCATCCAAGAATTTCAGATGGCTTTAAAAATAATAAATGCCTTACAGATGTTTTTACAGAGCCAGAACTGTTGAAAGGGGGCAGAAGAGGGGAGTTTAGCAGTCTGGGATAGCAACAGCAGGTCAGGCTAGAAGATACCAGTATTGTTGGGAGTAACTGGAAACTTTCCTTCAGTTCATGCAGTATGGAAACCATGAGACAGGGGTGTTCCTAGATTATTACCCCAAAAAGGCAAAACCACACAGGGGAATGTTGGAAAAGTGAAAAGCTTAGGAAGTGTGCTCTTCCCTGCTATCCTGTAGCACATTGTGAAGATATGCAGCAACGCCAAACAAAGCAGCTGCCAGCCAGGGCACAGAGAGGTGAAAGGACAGCCCCAGCCTTGCAGAATGCCACGGCCTCACCCTTGCTAAGCAGAGCCTGGTCAGAACGGTGTCTTGCAGCAATCCTTTTATCTGAAAATACTCAACTGAGTAGTGCTCTGTCAGAAGGATGAAGGGCTGAGCTGAGCCTGTTAAGATTACAACTGGGAGGTGGGAAGATTAGTAGGATGAAGGAGTGAGAAAGTAAACAAACAGCACATTCCACTGGCTCCTGTTGGCAGGAGAAGGGATTTCCTGGCGAAGGGAAGGAGAATAAGGGATTGCACAGAAAAGCCAAAAGAAAACCACACATGGTTCTCTTCCAAAAAAACACTGAGGTCAGACTTGTTTTACAGCTCTGTAAGCTTGTAGGTACCAACTGGCTTTGTTGTCAGAAGCAGGAAGCATGCTGCCATCCACTGTGATCTTAGCAGCAGGATTTATTTTAATGTTAGTGAGAGAGAATGCAGGTCAAAAGCACCACCAGGGCAAACAGATTAAGAGTATCTGGGGAAAGTATGTTGTGCTGGTGCTCTTGCAAGAGACTGTTCTCCAGCAGAGAGAGGGCAGCTGGGGTCCAATTAGTAAAACTAAGCTGCAGTTAGGCAGCCAAAGAATAAGTTATTTTATGTTGCAATACATATAAAGTCAAGTCAAAGGAATAGAACTACCAATGTTAGTCCTGTTTTATGCAGGTCAGTCATTCGTATCTTTAAGGGCAAGTCTAGTCTCAAGCCTGTTTCCCCCACCTATAAACTGGAAATAAGGATTACTTATTTCATAACAAAACATGCTGTCTGTTAGCCTTTGTGATTGCTTAGATGTTTCTGGAGTAAAAGTATGCAGAAGTATTAGGTAACTTTTTTTTTTCCAAGGAGAAGAATGGAGATAAAAGATTTAACAACAAATATTTGAACAGAAAGGTAATTAAACACTACCACCCAACCTTTTACTTCAGATTGTACTGAATAGAACACAGTTGTACAAAATCAATGATCTGCACCTGCCTCAATCCTCTGGAAATGTCCCTTCCCTGACGTTTCTAGTCTTTCTCTCCCAAGTGCTCCAAACTCTGAGTGTTACAAATCTCTGCATGAACATTGTTGCAATTTTGCTAGATCCAGCCTTAAATCACATCAGCTTGACTTCTGTAGCTGGACATGTGCAGCAGTCTTTGGGTCACCTGTTTGTGAAGCTTAGATAAGTGCCTACAGATAATTGCTTTGGGCTTTCTGTCTCTAGAGAAAAGAAATGGATAAAAACCAACCAAAGACAATGTTTCTGTCAGAAGAGCACAAGACTGGAACAGAACTCTAGAATCTCCCAGGACTAATGTTACAAATCTCTCAGCTTTAATAAGGCCACATGCCACGATTGAGCCTTTAGCCCCCCAAATTTACAACTGACTACAGTTTCAAGAGCATAACTATAATTTGTGATGTAGCTGCATTTCACTCCATGTCTGGTCTCCTCACCACAGCAAAGATGTAAGTGATAATGCTCTAAACAGCAAGTTGATTCTAAGCATGTAAGCGTTACCCAAACACTTCCTACAAACACAGATCAATCTCAGAACAAGGTACACATTTTTAAATATTAGTATTTCCTGCAAGTTGTTAATACCAATCAGTGCAACCACTCTGCAGAATAAAGAACCATCTAATAGTGGTTATGTTTACTATGACATTTCAATGTCAATGCCCTTCAATCTGCAAACCTCTTGGACTTCTAACAAATGCAGATGTTCAAACAGTCTCTTATCTGTAGTCAGTTTGCTTGTATTGTCATATGCCCCTTCACTATCCACCAGCAAAGGTTGAAAACTCAGTCTGCTGTATCTTACAGCTGATCCTATATAAGGTACCTACTACTAGAGACTTTTCCAGCTCCACCTTTCTCAAGGGACTTTCCAGTAGTACGATACCTGCTCTTCCTAGCTCTTCACTGGAGATTCCTTTATACAGCTGGCAATGAGAACCAGTTCTCTTTCCACACTATCAATCAAAGAGAAATAGCATCTCCTGCTATCAGCTCTTTACTGAGCAGGGAACCATCCCTCTCCTTGGTGCCCAGGATCAGCAGTCCCTTTTGGAACTTTTGGATTGGCTAACAATAGTCAGTTTTGTCTAGATTCTCACATAGGGTGAAACTTGCAAATGAAGAATTCCTACCTTGTTTTTGTCCCCTCCTGGTGATCCAAGCTAAAGATTACCATGTCCCGGAGCAAATAGGAACCTGTCACCCAACAGTATTTCTACCAGCTCCCTGTTTCACAACCACATCCTGCTTTTCCTCAACCAGTTGCTCTTGTTCTCCCCAGTCTGACTCATCTTTCCTTAGCCAGCCTGGTGTCCTGCTATCCTCAAGACCGCTCTCATGCTCCTGCTCAAGTCATCTGACTTGGCAGCCACTCATGTTTAGCAGATGGCTCCTTTTCATCACACCACCACTGCCTCCTCTTGCTCCTCTGTAGCTCTTGGAGCCCCCTGAACTTGCTTCAGAGCCCTCGGCAGCAGAGAGCAGGTGATGCTCTTGCTGCTCCCCCTGAAGTCAGCGCTCAGTGGCTCCGTCTGATCTCTATGTGCTGCCACAGCCTCGTCCCTGCCGGTTCCTGCAGGCAGAGTAGCAGCCTGGGGAGGTTCCCCGCGCACCTCATTAGTAAGCAAACACCAATACTTTTCCACATGCTTATTAATAGGCTTCCCTAGTGTTCACAGCCCGCCCTTCTGTCATCCTCCCTCCCAAGATCATTCAAAACCAGCAGGTCCTACTGGTATATGTTTGTGGGAAGGATTTTCAAATTCCAGTGCAAGGGTAGTGGCACGCCTTTCCCACACAGAAACAAAACTTTAATTATGACAAGTCAAAAGTGAGTAGCACAGCACAAGTCTTTAGTACTTTGCAATGAATCGGGCACATTTTAGAATAAATCCATCTGAGGAGCTAGCAAGCTGTTCCTTGATATTCTACAAGGTAACTCAGCAATTAAGAGGCTGAGAGGTGTTCTTACACCATAGGTTTTATACACCAGTATGCCAACACCAAGCCTGTACCCTTCTCAAGAATGTTTTAATTCCTTAACGGTCCATTTACCCTGACAGGGTACAATAATCAGCTGGTTTTCACTAAGCACTTAAAACAGTAAGCTTGTTCAGACCTTACTACTGCAGCTATTAAGCCAGTACTGTCCGCAGGGAACTTCCCAGCAGATGCTACAGAAACAGTCATCTAGGCTGGCAGCTGAAACATCTGCAATAAAAGACTGAGTAACCTTTTTATTGGGGGGTGGTGGTGCCAATCTCCCCCTTTCCCAGAAGCCAAAGTTTCTGCTTGGGAGTGAAAAGTCACATTGTCTAGATAAAAATCTCTCAAGTTGCAGTGCACATGAAGTCAAGAATAGGCCTCAGGGACTTACACTGAGTTTCTTACCTATAAGACTCACCTGTAGTACCGTTTGCTTAAAACTGTTTACATCAAAACCCCTGTCACAGGCATGTAACTTGAACTGATATGTGTGGGTGGTGCTTCAACCTGCCAGCATGTGTTCAAAACCAACTCTCAAATACCATGTAGCACCCAAAACAGCTGCTAAAAAATACACACTATCCAAAGCACTTGGGGGTGGGGAAATAGGTGAAAGCGCTATTAAGTGGTGAGTTTGGGGAGTTCAGCTAAGAAAAGCAACAGCAAGCCAGCTTTCTAGATGCCAACCCTCTCTTAAATAAGCCCAAGAACCATAACTGTTCAAACTTTAAGACTTATTTGTAGTATCAGGGATATAACTTCTTCAGGGTTTTTTTTGGCCTTGCTGCTATTTTTTCAATTTTTTTTTTTAAAGCTTTATCTACTGGTATGACTCAGCTGGAAAAAGTGAGTCTTTAATTTTTGGCAAAGGCCTTATCCCAGTCTTTGATAAGTTCATGCCTTCCACACTTGATGTAGACTCAGAAACGGTGCAATATAATTGCAAACAGTTTCCAAAAAAGCAACAAATCCTTGACTAACTAAGCCTTGGGGTTACAAAGTGTTCTGATTTCTCAAGCTAGAGACAAGCCAAAGCAACTCATTTCACGACAAGTGGGAGCTCTCTGTTGAGCCACTCTTTTCATCACTTCCACAGCTGCTCTCTGAGCTTCGTTACTGATTGGGGATTGATTAGCCTGTGTCCAGAGCCAGCGCAGTGTCCACTCCCCTTGGACTGCAATGCATTTGCAGCACCAGGGTGAATAAACCTCCACCTGTGAGCAGGAAAGCAGCTGTATGACCAGTCTGTCTCTGCATAGTAAATCACAAGAGCAGAACTTTAAGTCAGCCAGCTCTGTGGTGGGAAGAGATGTCAACATCAACAGTTGTCATCTGAAGTATCGCTACTTTCATTTGCACTAATTTATTAATTCTCAGTGGTCCTCATTCCCACCCTCTGCATTTGCTTGACTGCCAAAAATCATGAATTCCAGGCCCCTTCAAAGTTCCCTGAAAAACATAACTATTTTTAATTGGGATCCCTTCTCTACCTTTTGTGCAGCCAACAGGCTTCAGAAGTCTGAATACAGCCTGATAAAGGCCAGTTTTCTGCACCTCAGGTAAAGAGAAGCAAAAATGCAGTATTGGCAAGGGGCTCTGGGGAGTTCTGACATATAAAAGGCAAAGGTTACTCCACTACAACAGTATTTGCAAGGTCAACTGTAATATTTCACTACAGGGATAATGAAGTACGGGAGAGTCCAGTGTGCTGTGGGCTGCATTTAAGAGCTTCGTTTTTCATCTTCTCTTGCACTCGCAAGTTTGGGATGTAACGAGCGACTGTTCAGCTTGTAAACTCGCTTTGCCAGTGGCTCGAAGTGTCGGCGGGGTCGCAGGGAGGCTGCCCTGCCGGGCACAGCAGCACTGCGCACCGCCGCGCTCTCTGCTCGACAGAAGGATGCCGGAGTTGCCTTGCGCTGGGGAGAAACGGGCCTGCGTTTGCTTTTGGAAGGTGCTAGAGCCAGCTGGGAGATGTTCCCGAGTGAGAACAGCGGTGCAGAGGGAGGCACAGGGCGCTGTTTCCACGCGAGGTTGGCAATAATGGAATCAAGCTCACGGCGGGGCTGAACCAGCTCTTGTATAACCCGCCAACGCTCGGCTCGCCCTCACAGCACCGGGACACCCCCCCCCCCCCCCCCGAGCGTTTCCTCCCGGTCCCCAATGTCGGCGATCGGCGCCAGAGCCAGGCGCGGCGCGGATCGCTTTAGGGGGTGTGTGTGCGGGGAGGGTGTCGGGGTGTCCTCCCTTCCCATTCCTTCCCCACCCCAGCCCGTACTCACGGCGCGGTGCCGCCGCCTCACGCCGCCGTCCCGGAGAGCGCAGGGAGCGCCCGCCCTCGCTGCCGCCGGGGGACGGGCCCCCCGGCAGGACCCCGCCGCGTCTGCCCGCCGTCCGCCTGTCCCCGCGCCCGGCCCGACTCCGCTGCGGCCGCGGTGGGGGGGGGGGCTCCGCGCCGTCAGGCAGCGCCGCGGGCAGCCCCATAGGGCGGGCAGTGCGCCTGCGCGGCGGGCGGTGTGGTGGGGGCAGCGCGCCTGCGCACGGGCTCGGGCGGCGCTGGGCGGGTCCCGCGCCCGGTGTTTATGCATTAATATTTTTTTTTATTTATTTAAATTTAAAGTACCGTTCGCGCCGCGTGGCGTGCACGCTTTGCCGCGCCCACAGGGTTTTTTGCACGCCGCTTTGCACCGTGCGGCGCGCCGTCTGCCCGCTTTCTTGCGTCCTGCGGGTCACTGCATTTTTGCATGCAGGCTTGCATGATTCTCTGCGAGGGGGGGTGTTGCTTTTTGCGTGCTTTCTTACGCGCGGTTGCGTGCTGTTCGCAGGCTTCTCTTTGCGTGCAGTCGGAGTGTGTCCTTGCGCACCGATGCACGCTGTCACATGCTCGCATGGTTTGCACTGTGTGGCGTTCCATTGCATGCTATTTTCAGGCTCGCTTGCATGCTGCCTCCTTGACACACATGGCAGTGTGCTTTTGTTGCTGATTTAACCCACTGGAGCCCCAAGGGGCCCCAGTTTTCCGTGCTGGGGTAGAGTGGGCACCTGCACCCTTCATGGTGCTCTGTCTCGGAGTAGATCAGACACAGCTCTGTGGCCTCTCCCACTTCTATTTTTGACATCGGCCAAGTATCACCACGCTGGCAGCAAACCCTGGGCTAAGGGGAGATGAGCTGGGGGCACTTTGGCTGCTCTGAGCTGCTCCCAACACCTGCAGATGGTTGCAGCCTGTGGGATTTATCCTGGTCCCAACCTAAAGCAACTTGAGGTCTCCAAATCCTGCAAACTGCAACATGGACCCTTCGTGCCAGAGACTCCTGGCCGCATCCCCCTGCGCTGCTGCAGGAGCTGCACACTGGCTTGGGTTTTGTTTGGTTGTAGTTCTAGCTTTCTATAAAGAAGTTCTGCTCTGCACTTGAAGCCTGGCTGGAGGACTTCTGTAGCAGCAGCCTTGTGGCTGGAAGCAGCATGGGCTGCCAGCCCCGTAGTGTCCCTCTCACCAAGCAGAGACAAATTGTCCCACACTCACTTATTTTGGCAGCTCTGCAGGCTGCATGGAGCCATCAAGTGGAGTGGGTCCGTAAGGAGCTGCAGAGAGAAGGGCATCTCTGGTGGGGAATGGAAAGGTAATCCCAGGCCAGCTGGAACAGACTGCCCTGTGCAGGACAGGAGGCAACGGGGGTTTTATGGTCTTTCTGGTCAAGTGGAAGCTTTTAAAGGACCTCTGGCTGCGCTTTGCTTTGATTCTGGGGAATATTTCTTCTAATGATTCTTCTAAAGATTCCTTGTGCTCTCTTTAGCTGCTTGTAGGTAGTTGTCTGTTCCTATCACAAAAGTTGCATCCAAGATGCAAACGATGAACCCCTGAACACAGCACCCTCAGAGGCTGAGCAGCACCACCAGCGGCCTCTCACCGCTCTGTGTGAACCACAGCAAGGCAGTACCTTGTATTTTATGAAAATAAGAGCATAGGGGTGCTGGTGTTCCTGCATTCCCGGCTCAGGGCTCTGGCAGAGCTGAGGCTGCCACCTACCAGCAGAGCCCAGCTGGCCGCAGCTCAGCACGTGGGGTCTGCCGAGCCCAGAGGCTCCCCAAAGCTGGGACATCGTGGGTGCAGGGAAGCCGTTGGGCAGATGTGCAGAAATGATCCCGAGGAGGCAGAGGAGGATCTTGTGCTGCAGGTGGAGGGGTTTCAATATGCTGCAATTAAAAGCTGGGAGCAAGAGAAGCTTTTTTCCTGAGAAAAGAAAATGAACCCTTGCCCTGGCTGAGGGGACAGACATACATACACACAGCATGGCCAACAATTTATTGGCAAACTGGCTCAAATGTGGTGAAGTGTGGCAGGAGGGAGCTGTGAAACGTGGCAGTTGTGGAAGGTGAGATGGTAGAGGAGATCAACCCATCTCTTCGCTGCAGATCACACCCCTTCCCATGTCTTCATCTCCTCCCAGCTGACTCGGGTAGCGTGCTACAGGCTTAGCAGCTCACAGATTCTCACAGGGTCAGCTCTGCCTGTGGGGCTGAGAAAGCAAAACCAACCAGGAGGAGCACAAATGTACAAAATAGCTCAAGTTTACTTCCAGCATCATTCCCAGTATATAAGTTACCCCACTCCCAAACACAAGTCTTAGACTTTTCCCAGTCCCGTAGCAGTGCAGTTCAGCAGTCATTGGGCTTAGAGACATTTCCCATTTTAATGATGGAAGCAATCTCTCAGTTTGTTGGACCCTGAAGAGAGATCCATGCAGCAAAACAGAGCAGGCTGCTTCCAGCAAAGACAAGAGGCAGCAGCGCTCTGCTCCCTGGGTCTCCCCACGGAGCCCTGCGGCCAGCACCAGCTGCCCTGGTTTCTCTCAGAGCAGGGGCACCCCCCTGAATTTTCGGATGATGTTGGCCAGCCGCTTGGCCAGCCCACCCCGGCTCGGCTCTTCCACGTGAAATGTTCTGGTCAGCAGGTTGTAGAAGGAGCCGTAGCACACTGCCACCACGGTGCAGGTCAGGCAGATGACGTTATAGGGCATGCTGAAGTCTGGTGTCGGCAAGTTCACCAGCAGTGGCTCTGTGTAGAGGCGCACAAAATAGCTGGAGCCATCAGAGGAAGGAAACCTGGAGTGGGGAAGCAGGAAAGGAAGTGTCAGCCCATACAGGACCCCTGCTCCATGCTCAGCAGACAGGATGACAGTGGCCAACGGCCCGGTGCGGCCCCGCTGCCCAACACGGGCACACTCACAGCGAGGTGAAGAGCGGGCTCTGCTCCACATCCACGTCCTTCATCGCAATGATGCTGGGCACCAGGGCACTAAGCACAGATGAACTAAGGAAGAAAAGGACATGCTAGTGTCAGTCCTGCCAGGAAAGAGACAGCAAGAGTTTTTCCCGTCCCCAGAGATCTGGGCAGCAAGTCCTACACAAGGCCCAGAAGGGAATGAAGGAGCTGAGGTATGTCATTACCCAACATAAAAGCCATGATTGGGGTCAGGCGGGTACTCTGTCCACTTCAGTAGGGCCCTCTCAAACTGGATTGTGATCTTGGTGATGGAGTTGGCTGGCAGCTGGATCAGCATTTCCAGGAGGTGAGGCCGTCTGCGGTCCTGGGCTGGCTGGTAGTGGATATAACCTAACCCCAGAGAGACACGTCAGTGGCACCGGGAGGACCTTGTCCAATCTCACATTGCCTGGACATCTCCCATGGGGTGGGTGCTCCTGCTTCCACTGTCCTGGGAGAGGTTTTCTGAGCAAATGAAGATGCACAGGTAGCAAAAAGCATGTGTTAAAGCTAAATCTAGCTGGTCTTTAGAGCTGATGACCCATGAAAGTCAAGTGTTCATAAGGAAAGGTACAAATGCAAAATAAGACCCAGTCATCAGTTTCAAATTGAGCCCCCTTTACTATAAAAATCCATTCACTCTGGTTTAGACCCTTGTTGGATTATGAAATACCACCTATGTGCCTCTTATAAAACAGACTTAATAAAGTCTCATCTGCTGTAAGCACTGAACTGAAGGCTAGGAAAACATCCTAAGATGTTTTGTTTCCCAGTCTGCTTTCCCAGTGATCACTGGGGCCCACGGGAGGGACTAAATCATCTCTGGAATGAGCCACCTCTGCCAAAGGAATCGGGTGGCACATGCTCCTGGGAGGGTTTACTTACTTGGCTTGTTTTCCTTCCCCTTCGTGATGATAGTCAGAGTGTGCACATAGAGCCGGAGATACCACGGCACAGTCTCCAGCAGGATGACGGGGAAGGCCCGGTACGGGTGAGTGTTGTGGATGAGAGTGCTGATCTCTCCAGTCTGCAGCCCGTATCCACTCACGTAGCGTTGAGCATGGAGCACAGGTGTCGGCAGTTCTGCTGCAAAAGAGAAAAAGACACAGGAGTTGGGGGGGCCATGCCAATTGAATTTTCGGCCTGGAGCCCTGAGCAGCACGGCGGGTGGAGTGAAGTTCTGGTCACTCACAGCTGTCTTGGGGCCGCTTCCACTTCAGCTGCACATTGAGGCTGCGAGATGTATTGAAGAGCGAAGGGCTCAGCAGGTCATAGACAGCATAGGTTCTCTTTTCTCCCTGGACGATAGCTTCATGTACAGATGTTGGAGCAGGGGTCACTTCCAGTAACTCCTTTTCCTGAGAAAGCAAACGGACCATGAAAGGAAAAGTGCCTTGAAGTAACTGGCAGCGCTGGGCAAAGCCCCTCTGGCTGGCCCTGAGCTTTCCTGGCCAATGGCCAGCTCAGCGCTCTTACTAACACCACCACGTTCATCCCCACAGTGCTGCTCAGAGGAGGGAAACCACCAGCCTTCGTTAGCACCAGAGGGCTCCTGGGGGGGCCGGCCATGCAAGGGGTGGAGGCGAGGATGTTTCAGAACCACATGAAATTGGCTGAACTTGAGGGAGCAGGGGGTGCTCTCTGGTCTGTGAGCATTACCTTGTTCTTAGGGGAGATGTCAACGTAGACTTTGCTCTGTGATGCCAGAGGACACGCGTCAGTAAGTGTGCGAGAGAACATCTTAAAGAGGGACCAGTCTGCGGGGAGCAAAGTCAGTGGCAGGCAGAGTGAAATGCTGCAGGCTGAGGGCACTCAAGGATCACAGTGCACTGCCGCACTGCAGACCTTACCTTTCTTTCCTTGGCCACTGGAAAAGGTGTCAAAGACCACAGTGAGGGTCTGTCTGAGCTCCCAGGACACTGCCAGGCAGGAGGAATCCTGGACAAGAGAGAGACAAGTGGCTCTGATCACACCTTCTGGAGGGGCAGGACACCAGGACAGAGCTGGAAGTCCACCAGGACTGTGCGAATCCCTTCGGGACGCAGATGAAACCAGAAAAGCAGGACGACAGCTGTGTTAGACACAGTGAAGCCACCACAGGGGAGCTGGCAAACTGGTGGGTCACTTTGCAGTGTCACAATGAAGGCTTTGGAGTTTCTCTTGGGGGTGTTAAAGGAGGGAGCCCTGAGCCTCCCGCTTACCCTGCAGACGGGGCGGATGTGCACTGCCTGCGAGTGGTAGCTGCTGTGGAACAAGCGCTCGGCCTTCAGCAGCACAGCAAGCCCAGCCTGCAGGGAGAAAAGGAGACACTCAGCCCCAGGTCTGTTCTCTGCTCCCACTGAGAGAAAGGCCCTGCTGAGACCTCCCAGTGCAAGGTCCTACGCTGCTGTCGGGGGCCCGGCTCCCTCGGGAGCAGCCCAACAAGGCAGCAGGACTTGCCAGTTACCTTGGAACCACATGGGAGCAGCTTCTTCCAAGGCGTGAGGTTCTCTGTGCAAACGACCTCCCGGGGCAGGACGGCATATCGCAGGAGATGGTGATCTGTCCCTGGGCAGGGAGGTAGAGGGTCAACAGGTTGGTACTGCTACAGGCATGAGAGCAGAAGCAGACCTGTTCCACCCCTCAGTGTACCCCACAACCCACCATACTCTCAAGATCCCTGAAATGCCACAAGCTCAATCAGCAATAGATCACACTCTGTTCAGAGTGATTTGGAAATAGGTAAGGGTATATTCTAGCAGATTTTTTTCACGAGTGCCTGAAATCCTCCAGTCCTCACTGTTTTGTAAAATGCTTTTCAGAGAGACAGCCGAGGACCTGGGAGCATCTGCCAGGTACTGCTTGTGGGCTTCCCATGTTCAAATCCAAGCCTCATTTGTAGGGAGAGGAAATGCTTCCAGAAGAGGTTACAGACCCTATTGTACACACCCAAACCCACAGTTGTTGCAAGACCTGTGCCTGGACTCCCCACAGTGGCATGGGGCAGAACTAAAGCTAGAGGCAAGAGTGAGAGGGCAGAGCCAGGCAGCCAAGTGCCGGCCGGGCTCACCGTTGGCTAAGCCCAGGGGTTTGAAGGATGCCGTTGGAGTGACTGTGTTGGTTGAGTCAATGAAGTTAAGAGAAGCACAGAATATTCCTGAGAGGATGTTACTCAGTTCCTTCCAGGCTTTGTCAACACTGTGTGAAAACAGATACTAGAGATTACGCAGCAGCTCGAATCCTTGGAACAACAAGCATTAAGTCAGTAACATTCAATAAATACACCGGGATGACTATGCTGGCTTTTAGAAGCTGCAAGGAACGGGCAGGCAGAGGCTGATGGACACACACTCTCCAGCTCTCTGGTATTTTATTTTAAGGCAGGAGGTCTGGGGGACATTCACCACGGGGGCAACCCCTGGGCTGGCAAGGCTTCACACAGCCAGGGACCCAGTGGTGTGTGCAAGCTGGTATGTGAGGAGAGAGGCTGGGGGAGCAGGGAACATGCGGGAGGTGACATGCAGTGTATGGGGAAGAGGCTGTGAGACCTAAAGCAACACCTTGGCTGCAGCACTGAAAGCCAATCTGACCAGCGGACCCAGAATGGGCCACCTGTAGGTGAGAGCTCTGGGAGTCCACACAGAGCTGCTGTGGCTCAAACAGGGGCTTGTGTGCTGGGGGAGACGATGTCAGGTATCAGATGGGAGTCAAAGGAAGCGAGTCAGGGGTGGGAGGTCAAGATCTAAGCCCTCTGTCTTAGCACAGCGAGGGGTTTGCCATCACAGAGCCCATAAGGGAGTTACTCGTTCCTGCAGTGAACAAGGGTTTGCCCTCAGCACCACATCCTGCCTCATGCGCTGAGCAGGGCTACATTCTGCTTTTCCTCAGAGCTGCTCCCGAGGTTGTGGGCTCTTTATTCCAGCGGATGCTTCCCAACCCAGGAGCGCCTGGTGCGAGAGGGGTGGCAGCTCCCGGGCGCGGTGGCCGACCGAGGGGGCCCGGAGGGCCGGACCCCTGGCTGCGGTACCTACTCGGTGACGGTGGGCTGGAACCAGACCCAGAGCTCGGCGCCGGCGGGTGCCTGGAGGGGCGGCTGCCCCCAGGCGCGGGTGCGCCAGAAGCCCTGGGTGAGGGCGAGGTGCAGCTCCCGCACGCCCAGCGCCGCCACCAGCCGCCCCAGCGCCTTCGGGAAGAGCCTGTAGTGAGAGACTGCGGGCAGCGTTAGCTCCTGGCCCCTTCCCTTGACGTCACGCCTGGCCGAACACGACGTCATCCCCGGGCGCTGCGCAGCCCGCTTGCATCACCGCATCCTTCACACCCCCCCCCCCCCCGCCCCGGCCTCGCTCCCCTCGACGCGGCAACGTCATGACCCGCGAATAGCTCCGCCCCCCCCCCGGCGCCGCCCTACCCGCGCCCCGCGGCAGGTCGGCGTCCCACCGCGTGCGGAACTGGAAGGTGGCGGCCACGTCGCCGGCGGGCAGCGGGCTCAGCAGCAGCTCCTCCCGCAGCGCGTCCCGCCGCGCCCGCCCGGGCCCCACCGCCAGCAGCAGCAGCGCCAGCGCCGCCGCCATCATCTTCATCCCCAGCGTCACCATCCTCACCATCGCCGCCCGCTTCCGCTTCCGCCCGCCCGCCCCATGGCGGCCGCTTCCGGGGTCGCCATGGAGACGAGGAGCGGGAGCGGTAGCCCGGGCTCGCCTCTGCGCTCTCGCCGAGCGCCCGGGGCCTCTCAGGCTCCCGCTGGGACCGGAGCCTGGAGCCTGCCCCGGTGCGTGTGTTGGGCGGGGGGGGGGGGGCACACACCCCCAGCACCGGCTGCCCCCAGCCTAGGAGCGAGGGCGTCCGTTTTGTGGGACGCTCGCCGAAGGCGCCCTCCCTCCGGCTTTGGAAACTGGGGAGGCTCGTCGCCGGGCTTCGCCGTGCAGGAGGACTCCGCAAGGAGCGCGCCTGTCCCCGCTGTGACTTCTCAGCTCTCCCTCTCGCCTTGACGTCCCCTTTCCGGAGGGCAGCGTCTATCTGCGGGTGCAGAGCCGCCTGGAAGCACCCTGCTCCCACCGGCTGCCAGCCTGCGGCCGCCCCGGGAGGAAGGCCCTGGGGGTGGCAGCCCGATGGAGCTCTGGCCATCACCCCCGGATAACCGGGGCGCTCCGGGTTGGCTGAGGCGGGAGGCGGTGCGGTAAGGTCTGAACGTCCCTGGGAAGCAGGCGGGATGAAGAGCGTTCCCTGGCTCCTGACGCTTATCTCCCAGGCCCCTTTCCTCGCAGGGGTGACTGCGGTTGTGCTGAGGCAGGCCGAGCAGGGACAACGCTTTCCTGTTCTGCAGCCGCTGATAGCGGCCGCGGGGCTCTGGCTGGCTTTCTGCCCCACTCCTCAGCAGTGTAGCAGGCTGCAAAGTGGCTTCATTTTGATGGCTCTTCCCTCGTTCCTCTAAAGCAGCCTCCAGCCAGGGCTGCTGCCATCACGCTGTGCTGGGGGAGCAGCGGCTGCTGGTGCGGCGTGTGCTGATGTTCCCAATGCAGCTGATTTGCATGGGAAATCCCCGGGGTGTACTCCTGGCCAGTAGTTACAGGTCACCAGCAGCCCTGCTCGAGTCAGCCGCGTCCATACGGCAGCACCCGTGTTGCTCAGTATCGTGACCTGCTCCATAAACAGCCGCCCTTCTGTGCTGTGATCTGTGCTCTCTGCTCCCGCCCCGGGCGCAGGAACCATCCCTATGCTGGAGCTGGGCTGTGCGTCAGGAGGCTTCATTTTCTCCTGCGTGACACCCTCAGCACACCAGCTTTACACCACTCTCCCTCCTGCAGTCCCCACCTAACCCTCACCCCCCAGGGCTGTTTTCTCTCAATAATGCACACACCCACACTGCTTGTTTAGATCTGAGTGTTATTTCTCTGTATGCCATCGTTAAATGCTTGTCTGGACAAGACCTTTGTCAGTAGGGGAAGGGGAGCTGGGATCCCAAGGGATGGCTTTCTGGGAATGGTGGGGCTGTGGGATGGTCAGCGTTTCAGGGGAGTGAAGCAGGGAGTGTTAGCAGCAAAGCCTGAAGAGTTAATTTTGGGAGCCTACAATACCCCTTTCCTTCTTTGGCTGCCAGGAGAACCTGCGGAGGGAGAGGAGGGGAAAACCATCTCTCCCCTCTGCAGGGCAGCAGTCCAGGATGGGGTTTACTGAGTGCCAGCAGCTTTGCTTCCTCTGGGCTGGCAAGTCTGTAGGGAGGAGGCTGGGAGCAGGGCAGAGCTGGCTGCTAGCTTCTTGCCACCTGCTCTTTGGGACTGTCCTCCTGCAGGTCCTCCTCATCTGACTGCACCACGGGGGTCTCGGCCCCGTCCTCACTGGTGTCCAGGCTATTGAGATCCGTGGAGACAGAGGACGTGGAGGAAATGCGTGACTTGCTCTCGGCTGAGTTGGGCACTTGCAGGGTGATTTCCCCTGGGCACTGGCTGGTATCTGCCCCTGGAGGAGAGAGTGGTAAGAGAAAGGAAAGGGCTTCTGGAGATTTATTGCTCCCTAAGATTCATGGATAGCCCCTCCAACGCACGTGTCTTATTCCTCGGCAGGCTATGCTTTTCTGGGTGCTCCCCATCTGGCTACTGTGGCTGCTCCCCACCTTACACCCCCAGCTTGGCTCTGGGCAGTGCCACACATCCCTTCCCCATTTTCACCAGGGGAGTCTTTTCCATCTCACATGAAACACAGTTTGGAGCCACACTGTGTGAGGCCGTTGGCTGCAGCAGACAAGGAGATGTTTGGCTTGGCTTTGGTGAATCTCTACGGTGTGTGTGCATGGGGAGGAAGGTGCTGGCACCCTGAATTTTAGCTGAGGGACCCAGGCCCAGTTCCCTGGGATCTGGCTGGGAGGTGGAGGGGTCCTGCAGCCTTCTTGCTCAGCACAGCAAGCTCTGCAGCATGGTGGGAACCTGGGAAATTGTGACAAGACAGTGGCTGCTGCAGAGGAGCTTCAGGACAAGAGAATTTGCCCCATGGACTCTGGAAAGTGCCTGGGCTCTCCTATCTTCTGCAGCATAAGGCTTTTACAGGGTCTGTACATCTGGGCTGCAGAGATGGATACTGATGTGGACCAGTCCAGGATGAGGTCCCTCCAACCTCACAGACCCCAGCACCAAGTGTCTTGTCTTTGTATGGGTGCGTGTGGATCTGCATGCAGGGTGGCCAGAGCTGAGGAACAAGCCAATGTGGGCACTGGGGGCAGGAAGGGCTCCCAGCCTGGCTCACAAAAGGGACTGCACGTACCTGGCAGGGGCCCAGCAACGCTGCTCTCCTCTGTCCCACAGCCCAGAAACACGTCCACAGTGTCCTGGTCTGACAGATCCATCATGTCCATCTGCTCCAACATGTCCACATTCACCTCCATGGAGGAAATGCTGCCTAAGGGGGCTGCAGAGACAGAGGCCAGCGAAAAGGTGAGTGCTAGTGCCAGGCAAAGGGCACCATCAGCCCTGTGCAGGCAGGACCCTGAGGGCGGAGGTTAGCCTTGCTGTGGGGAACTGAATTCTACTTGCTGGTAAAAGGCCCCTAGGAAAATCATGTTTCCTTAAAACATCCCTCTGGAAGCCCCTGCTGTCTCCCTGCAGACCTTGTCCCTGCCCCAGAGTGTCTGGAGGAGCCTGTCTGAGGCCAGTGACTATGCAGGGTGCCAGCCTGGGTACCCGTGTGCAGTGACTTAAGTGGTGTGAGTAATCCACAGCACACCCACACGCAGCCTGTGTGGTCCCGTCTCAGTGCAGGACATGCATGTCCCTGGCCGTCTTCAGACTGGGAATGTCCCACCAATCTCTAACGCCTGTGTCATTGTTCCCTGAAACACCCCCAGCCCTGTGCTGGTGTCTGTAGCACTTACGTCTCCGATGCTCTATCTGCAGGTGAGACATAGGGAAGAAGAAATCCACCTCATGCTGGAAAACCTCCTCAAAGAACTTCTGCCGGTCCCGTAGTTTCAGCTGCTGCTGCTGCATCTGCTCGGCATCCAGGCTCCGCTGCGCCTGCTCCATGTCGGCTAGGGAGAAAGGTGAGGAGGGTCGGACCAGGCAGGGCTGGCTGAGCCCTCTGCCTGTCCCAGCTCACAGGGTACAGCCGTGCTGGAGGGTACGTGATTCCCTTCTGCTCTGCTTTACCAGCGCACGTTGATTTAGTCACTGTGAATAGATGTTACACACCGGAATGGCAGCGTCACCAGCACTAGCTGTGCTGGAGCCTCAGATCTCACTTCCAAGAGGCAGGGCAGCCAGGAGCAGGGAGCTCATATGCTGTGTTCATGACTGCTGAAAATTATTGAGAGGGGAAAGGGTGTTGTTATGAGATCAGCCATGGTTTGCACACGTTTAAGTTTCAGTTTCCTTGCTATAAAACAGAGGGTTGTCCGTGAACGCTAACGAGCAAGGGAAACTCCCAGAGACAAGATCTGGTGTTAGTGCTTCAGGCTTTCTGGGCTGAGGGACGCGTAAAGAATAAAAGGCAGCAGCAATGCTGTCACCCCTGCACACGTGCACCCCTGCCACCACCGTCGCTATAAATACAGCCGCACCCACGCTCGCAGGCTCCCCCGTTCACATCCCCCGCTAGCACAGCCAGCTTGGCTTCTGCCTGCACAAACATTTTCATTCCTGTAATTCCTCCCGCAGTTCAATGCCAGTGCCTGTGTCCCTGGCTCGCACGGGAGGGAGTGATGGGAGCCCTTGGGCTGTTGCTGAAGGAGCTTGTTGCTGCATCCCTGGGCCTGGTACTTCCCTTTTGGGTTGGGTACCCACAACAGCAAGGACCCAAATGGCACAGAGGGGCTGTGACTGGTGGCCCCGGCTGTTCCCAGGCTGGTGTTTGACCTCAGTCATCCCAGATTTCCTCTCTGCTGCTCTTGGCCCAGCCGGCACAAGGAAAATCTGATTACTGGAGCAGGCAGTGCAGTAACCAAGGAAACCAAACAAACATCCTGAGCACGGCCCAAACCCTCTGTTCCTCCAGGCTGGGGAGGAGGGAACAGGGCGAGCAGCATCCCCACCCTGTCTGGCAGAAGTAGTGGCGAGGAGTGCAGGGGGGCTGGCTGTCAGCAAGATGTAGCAGCATAGGACCCAAATGGGAGAGGTGGTGGGCCTGGTGAGATGTCCTGGAGATCAACGGTACATCTTCCTGAGAGCCCTTCCAGGGCTCCTCTGCACCCTGTTTCTGGGGCATCCTTCAGCAAAGCCCCATCATCTGCAGCCACCTGCCCCAGGAGCCGGGTTGTGCCTGCAGCGCTGCGCAGGGACGCACCGTGACTCAGGGCCAGTCACCATGTGCTTTCTGGAAGAGGCTCTGGTCCTCTTCTGCTGCTCAGCGTCTTCCCGTGATGCCCACGGCAGCGATCCTGGCTGCCCGGAGGGGCCTTTGCCTTCGGAAGTCTGCCCTAAGCACGGGGTGCCTGCCCCGGTGCAGAGGCTCAGCGTGCTGTGCAGCGCCCAGGCTGACGGCCACGGTGGTGGATGTGCCGTGCCGGTGCAGCTTTCCTCACAAGGCTGACGGGTGGCTGCAGCCTGGTGCCACTGGGGCAAGGCAAAAAAACCTCCTGCCTCCTCTGTTCTATCTGCAAACGAGAATTGGAGCCAGGGACAAGGAAGGGGGTGACCGGGGCACTGATGATGGAGCTGGCTCCCTTCGGCAGCTGGAGCCAGCCCTGTCCTGTCTGTCCCAGGCAGAGCTCTGCCCGCCAGCCCAGCTGTGCCGAATCCGTGACAAACAGCTGCGGTTCACCGCACCGAGGGAAGCCCATCGGGCTCCAGCTGTAGGGAGGCTGGGCTCGGGGCAGGGGCTGCGCCAGCTCGCAGATTGAGGGCAACAGACCGGCTCTCCGTACGGCATCCTGCCAAAGGGACCCCAGTGTGGAGGTAAGTCTCTAAACCCTCCTGCAGTACAAATACAAAATAAACCAAAGTGCTAGCAGGTGCTGTCCCAAGTGCTGTGAGCGTGGCTGATCCGTGCCATTAATGTTCTCCCTGCCCATCTCTCCCCAGCGCGTGACCGATACTCGGGGTAAGGGTGCTTGGGGAGAGTCAGGACGAGTGCTGGTGGCAGCATTCCTGTGGGCGCCGGGATTTCTCTTGCGGGAGAAATTAGCAGGACCTGTTTATGAACTTGTTTTCGAGCTCTTGCCGGGGAGTTAGGCGCGAGCACTGAGATCCCATTATGTAAGGAACGCCGACAGTGGGAGACAGCAGCTGGGCTGTGCTTGGCCCTGCCTGACCCGTGACCGCGGTGAGAGTCGGGGATGGAGCCTTCCCCCCTCCCGCGGCTCTTCCGGGCCTGGGGGGAGCCAACAGCCCTGCTAGTGTAGCTGCTCCTCAGCAACCCTTGCTGGGGAAATAAAGGAGAGCGGCATTCCCTGCCGCGGCCCTTCCCCATGTGACGGCCGGTCACACTCCCTGGCTGTCAGTCGTGGGGATTGTCTCATCCGGCTGGCATGTTCCCACCGCGGGACACGTTCGCACACACAATGCGGCCCCTGTGCACCGTGGGGGATCTGTCGGTACCTGCTGGTGGCCTGGCTTTTATTACTATTGTCATGGTTATTACTACAGCCCACTCAGCCGAGGGGCCAGAGGCTGATCAGCATTCAGAGCCAGGCTCTTCTTCGCTGGCTGAACCGCCCAGCGCGGCTGCAACAGCACCAAGCACCCCGCTGCCTTCAAATCCTTCCGGCTCTCACGGCGTATCAGCCAGCGCCGCTCGGAAAGGAGCTGGAGCCAGGTGCTGGTGCAGAAGTTGGGTGGGCAGGGCAGGGCAGGGCAGGATCCCCACCCCCCCCACCCCCTCCCCCCTGGGAGGTGCAGGCAGGGATTTCCTTCTCACCTGCTCCCAGGCAGCTGCCCACAGGGAGGGCTACGGGCGAGGACGCTGGCCCCGCGGGTCCCTCTGCCCTGCCAGGGCACGCTGGGGAGCCAGCCCTCGCATGGCGTGGGGGGAAAGGCACAGGAGGGCGGGCTGCGAAGCAAACCGCTGCGAGCTCTCCCATCTGCACCCTTGCCGAAGCGGGCTGGGAGAGAAGCAAGTCCTGGGGTGCAGTCAGCATGGGGTGAGGGCCAGGCAGGGCTTGAGGGTTCTGGGAGCACCAGCTAAGGGTGTTCTCCAACCCAGCATCTGGTCGGGGAGCGGAGCACAGTTCAGTTATCTGGCTGTGTTTCCACTGGGAGGGGACACGTTTTTCATTCTTCCTTGGCCCACAGGATCCAGGTACAACCCCCGCTCAGTGCCAGTGAATAGGAAAGGTGTATTCGGGGGTGGGAGAAGGCTTGTTAGCGCAGACACAAGGCCAAGAGAGGATGGGGACAGCCGTTTCTTGAGGCTGTGCCTCTGCACTACCTTACAGAGGTATTGAGGCATTTAAAGTCATGAAAAATAATCTGGCCTGTGGAAAGGGACAGGGGGTGATGGGGCGGTGAGCAGAGTTTAAGCAAGCACTCCACGCATGGCCCAGTTCTGTGGTGAATGAAAGTGCTGGGGCGGGCTGGCCCAGCCCTGTTTTGCCCCTCTTCCTGCACTTTCCCAGAGCCTGATCCTCTGACCCTGCTCCTCCAGAGGGGCCTGGGGCACCCCACTGCTGCCCGGCTTGCTGGACTGCGCCTTGTGCTCCCCACCCCTGCGTGCAGCGCTGCGAGGAGATGGCGTGGGGGAAAGATGCAGCTCCTCGGCTGCCACAGCATCTTCCGGGAGGCTCTGCAGCAATCGCAAGCCTTTCCCTATCACCCTGTCCCAGCAAAACTGCTGTGGGACAAGGGTAAATCCCAAGGGCTTTTGGTTCCTTTAGCCTTGGGAGAAGCAGCTGGCGTGGAGAGCTGGGAATGTCCCTGTAGAATCATGCAGGGCCAGGCCGTGGGGAGATGGGATGCCTGGACACACCGGCTGCCTGAGTGTCAATTCCCTGCACGGTCTTTTCTCGATCGGCACGTCTGACCTCATGTTGCAGCACAGCAAAAAATAACTGTAGCCCCAGTGAGAGGAAATGCACCAGGCGAGTGCGAGGGAGGCAATGATTTTGGTAGAGCCGCTTGCTGGGAAAAGCAGCGGGGGGGGGGGGTTGGAACTAGAGAGGGAGGACATGGCACCTCGTAACCCCTGTCTGTGCAGCGGTTTCATCGCCTGCGCTCCTCCGAGCGATCTCCAAATCCCCTGCGTCTCAGCACTAAAAATATCCCTGCCGCCCAGAGCTCCTTCCCGGGCAGAGGCTGTGTCATAAGACCCTGCTATTTACGGGGCCCTGCTTCGGTTCACGCAGAAAGAAGCGTGAGGACGAGAAAGCCGAGCGGGCAGCACGGGTGCCTGGGGAGCGGGTGTGCAAACCCGGGGCACGGATCCGGGGCAGGCTGTCCCCCTGCGACCCCTCTGTCACCCCGGCTGCCGCTCGCCTGGCCGCGCTCGCTGATGTGTTTGCTCTGCTCAGCCTCCTCTTCCCCAAAACCCTGAGGGTGCTGGGGGGGGGGGGGGGGGGGTTGAAGATCCGCTCCTCCCGGGGGTTCGGGGTTCCCAGGGTTACCCACGCCGCTCCACAACATGCCCGTGGCCCAACAGGTCCCCGAGCTCAACCATTTCCCAGGCAGGTGCGTTTCCCCCCCCCCCCCCCACGCCGCTCCCCGAGCATCCCCATCCCAAGCACGGAGCTTCCCGGGCAGCCCCTGCCCAAAGCAGCCCGGGGAGCGGTGCCGGCGCAGCAGGTTGGAAAGAAGCGGGGCTCACGGCTGCTTTTGCAAGGGGCATCGAGGGGGGAGTGTTGGGGGGGGGTGGGGTGGGGGTGTTCGGGCACCCCGAACCCTGCCCGCCCTCCCGGTGCGGTGCCCCGCTCCCCTCCCGCCAAGCGCACTCCGCGGCCGGTACTTACCGGGCAGCCGCCGGCTGCGGCTCTGCGCCCCGGGCCCCGACATGCGGCGGAGCGGCTGCTGCGACCGGGCCGGGGCCGGGGCCGGGGCCGGGGGCGGTTGGGCTCAGCGTGGGGCGGCCGCCCCCCCCCCCGCCGCCGGCCGCCGCTCGCCCATGCTGCGCGCTGCGGGGCGGTGCTCGGCGCTGCGCGGGGCGGTGCCAGCGCGCCCATCCCCGCGGCATCGCGGCGGCGCCTCCCGGCTCCCGCCCTGCCGGGGTCCTGGCGCAAAGCTGCTGGCCGCTGCTGCGGCGTGGGGTGGGGGGGTGTCTCCGGTTCCCGTGGGGAGCAGGGTCGCCGTGCACAGTGGCCGGTCCTCACGGAGGGGCTCTGCCTTCCCGGGACCCACTGAGAGTCCCCATGCGGAGTCCCTGGTCCCCAGGGAGGGTCCCTGCAGAGGGTCGTCCCCCATCCACAGCCACCCCAGGCAGAGCTGCGTGCCCCGCAGTGCCCGGCTGCAGGGGCTCTGCTCCAGCAGGAGCTGTGCCACACGTGGCAGTGGGTGGGCAGGCCTGGAGGCAGGGGGCTCTGTGCCTGGGCAGGGACCACAGTTACCATCCATCCGTGCTTGCCTTTGGTTTTTTTTCCCCTCTTCTCTCACACAATCACACAGGAGAGACGACAGCACGCTGCGTGGATGGGCCGTGGGCTCCCTCACCAGCTCATCCCTGACCTTCGGAGACCCTCATCCCCCAACAGATCCCACTCTGGAGTGTTCTCTCCCACGTTCAGCCCTGCACATCAGGGCTGCTCCTTGGCAGAGAAGCAGACTTGGCTGCCCGCCCCCTTCCTGTATCTCAGCAGGGTGAGTCAGTGCCTCGCCGTGCCCAGCGCCAGCTCTGCCCGCAGCCTGGTCCCTGACAAGCCGGGACGGGGGGAAGGGACATCCACTCTGCCCTTTCCTCTGGCTGAAAGGGAGTTTCCAGAGTCTGTGGTGTGTCCCGCCTGCTCCATTCTCAGTGTATTTCTCTCACTGTCTGGATGACTAAAGATAACTGGGTATTGTTTGTGTCCCAGCTCTGGTTTTGGCTACTGTTGCTTTGCTGTCCCCTCCATGCCTCCTGGGAGCTCCTGCTGCCAAAAAACAACTTTGTGCTGGAGACCCAGTGCCTGCACCTTGCGCACTTGCCTGCAGCTGCTGGCTTCAGCTCACACGGTGGTTACGAGAGATGAACTTTGTCCACATGAATGTTTAACCGTATCCAAAAAACACCCCCAGTCCTGCCTGTTGGTTTCCACCTGAGCGTGGGATGCCAGCACTGTAGCTCAGCCCTGGAGGGCTGAGGGGGGCAGGCTGGTGTAGCAAGATGGGGGGTCTCACGGTCTGAGGAGCCGCAGGAGCAAATCTTTGCTGGGTACCTGCCAGCTCTGGTTTGCTCACAGCTCTGTGTGGTCTGGCGTGGCCTCCGGGCAGCCTCGACTGTTTGCTGCTGTCCCCGCTGACCCCCCTACCCTGCTGGGGGGAAGGCGAGGAGGCAGGGCTGGAGAATTAGCTCAGGTCTCTGCTATGTGATGCGCCTGTGTCAATTGTCACAGGCTACTACTGCGAGGCGTGGAGACTGTTTCTGCACACACGAGTGCCCCGGAGCACCCCGAGTTCCCTAGGGCTCACCAAGTCCCCGCTGCAGGGATGGCGCATGTGGGTGCTGCCCACACAGAGTGACATGCACCCAGGCCACTGCTGCTGTGGCCTCTCCATCCTGCCTTGCTGGGAGGGGGATGGAAAAGCAGTGATATCATCGGCACGGAGCCTGACTCATCCCGGCTCTTCAGCACAAGCTGTGCTGCTCAGCGGGGCACCCATTTTGTTCCAATTAAACCAACACATGCAAGTCGGTTACACATAATGATTTTTTTGCTCGCAGCCAAGCGTGCCTGCCCCTGGCCAAAAGGTGAGAGGGGACAGAGGTGACACTGAAGTCGGTGGAGAGTCTCCACTTCTGGTAGGGAGTCCTAAGAATAAGCCTTGCCAGATACCTGCAGGGTCTGCCCCGGCTGCTGCATCCCTGCCTCCCTTGTGCCTCCAGCACAGGCTGATGGCACTGTCTTGTGTCAACAGCCCTCGCCCTAACCGCAAATGCCCAGGTCCCTGGGAGGTGTCCGCTGGAGATCCGGGTCACAAGCCCGGATAGGAATGATGCCACTTCTCTCCACGACACAGAGTTCAGCTCCTGCCAAAAGTCCCCAGGGGAGCCAGCATCAAAGTGCACCCGTCATCAGGAGAAAATGTAATGTGACCTGTTCCTCTTGCCTTTCCCGCTCAGGTTTCTCCCATCTATTGGAGGCTTGGGAGGTGAGTCAGGGAGCTGTGGGGGGGAGGATGGAACTGGGGAGGAGTTGGCTACTAAGGGAAAGGTGAACCAGTGCCAGGCAGGTGAATCACTTGCTGGTGAAAATAGATCTTATTCTCTAGGAGGCGTGCATGGATGGGGCTGGGAGTGAGCTGCAGCTTGACTTGATCAGTAAATTGTGAAGTCAAGAGAAAAACAAGGCAAAGCTGCTTTCCCAGTAAACGAGGCAATACATTGCAAGAGAGCAGCCTGCAGCCCACAGCAGGCAAGGCTCCAGCAACCCGTGGTCCTGCGGCTCCCTTAAAAGGGGCGATTTTAGCCTGGGACAGCAGAGAGACAGAACAGCCATAAACACCCTCGAAGGAATGTGGCTGCTGAGGAACGAGCATCTCCGCAGGGCTGGGGAGGCCAGGCAAGGCGGGGGCACCCGGGCTGTGCCGAGGTGCCGCCTGGCCGGGGTTCACAGCACCACTCCATGCCAGGAGTCTGCCGGATCCTTGGCCATGCCCTGCTCCGAGGGAGGGGAGCCCAGTCCCAAGGCTAGTGGTCCTTGTGCTGTGCTGGGGGAGGCTCCTGCCAGGCTTCGGGGGTGTCATGTCCCCGTGTCCTCAGGCTCCACACCATGCAGGTTTCCCCGACAGCCAGCAGCTGGCACGGGAGCTGGTAGAGCTGGGAGGTGGTGTGTGGGCAGGAGGACACCCAGCCCTGGCCCTGGGCAAAGAAGGACCGTTCCTGGAGCACCTCAGCAGACACCCGAGCAGAGCAAGGAGGGGTCCTGTGTCAGGCTGGGGTGGGGGCAGCCCTCCTGCCGTCTGCTCTTGCCTGCTTGCCCCGCAGTTTGGGCAGGCTGGCTCCTTCCCAGCCATGCTGGCAACCATGTGCAGCCATGGTGTGTTTGCCTCCAGTAAACCCACCAACCTCGCTGGGCCCTGCAGCTCCTTTTTATCCTCCTGCATGAAGAGAGGAGACTGAGGCCATGCAGCATGTCAGTGGCAGAGCTGAGGTTCACCTGCTCCAGCCCTCCCTGGCCACTGGCCCCCTCTGCTGAAGGGACAGGGCCAGCCTGGCCTTGAGGAATGGTACTGATCACTCATCAGGAGGCCAGGAGCTGCCTAGAGCTGGCCAGTCCCGCTCTGCAATAATATTTGCAGAGCCCATGGAGTTGCTTTGGGTAACAAGAGCTGTGGGTGCATGGCAAGTGGGGAGCTGCACCTCAGCCCCTGTCTGGTGCAGGGCAGCCGGAGGAGCCCGTGCACTGGCTTCGCCTGCCTGCAGATCTACCTCAGGGACCAGGACAGGCAGGGCCGTAAGGTGCGGGGCTGAGGTGCAGCTTCCCACTTGCCATGTACCCCAGGAAATCCTCTGCCTGCAGCTCCTCCACCCTCTTCTGCTGGCCCCCAGGCAGCGGGACCAGAGCCCAGTGGCACCGGCCGGGGCTCAGCGCTGCCAGTACACAACCACGGGGTAGAGCGGCCAGGAATAGACCAACGTGTAGGCTGGTCCCGTGGGAGACAGAGCCATGGGGGTGGAGAGGTGAGGAGGGACGGCTGAGGGCATCGTGGGGACGTCCCTTGTGTTGGCAGGCGGCTTCTCCTCGCGCTTCCCTTGCAGGGAAGCAGCCCCGGGAGGAGGCTGCAGAGGGGCAGTGCTGGCTGAAGGCAGAGCTGGAGGAAAAAGTTGATGATGTCCCAGATTTCTGCCAGGAAATATTTTTGCATTGTTGGCCTTTAACCCTCAACCTTCTCTGCTGCCATCTACGTTCCTGGTGCTGTAGTCCCCTCTCCAGGAGCCTGGGTGAGGGACGGACATGGAGCTGGGACCTGGTGAAATCTTGGGAATTGCCATCCCAACTGAAAGCAGAACCAGGCAGGAGCTGCCATACCCTTCCCACCTTCCCCCAGCCACTCTTTGCCTGAAGACACGGGCCAGGTTTAACTCTCACCTGGCAGAGCTGCCTGCTGCTGCTGCCGCAGCTCAGGAGCGAGTGTGGGAGGTTACTTGGGTTGGCACCGGCTTTTCTCATTATCTGGGGACATTTATTCTGCCACAGTGACTCGGTTTAATGAACTCCCTCCCAGCTGGTGTTCTGATGTAAGCTCTGGTAGGAAAACAGAGTGCTTGAGTCTGCTTGTCTGCACGAGGTGTCATCTCCAGCACGGGGCACTTGGACAAAATCAAGCTGCCCCTTTCCCAAGTGCAGGGTCCCGGCTCGGCCAGCCAGGCTGCACCTCCTTCCTGAGGGGTGGCACATGTCCCTGGTGGGATGGGGAAGGTGGCAGAGTGATTCCTCCTGTCCAGCTTGCAGTGAATTATGGCCTAGAGGTGGTGCCCAGCCCCAGATAATGTGGGACAGCAAAGCTGAGGTGGTGGTGGGGGGAAGGAGGGCGCCTCGGCGTGCTGGGGGCTGGCAGAGGCCGGGGAGCCGGCTGGGACCCAGGGGTGCTGCCTGTGGCTCGTCCCTGCCTTGCCCCAGCATCAGGTGCCAGGACATGCATTGGTCCAAAGAAGCTGCAATATGAAATGCTTTTGTGAAGCTCTTTTCAGGTAAAAGAAGCTCTCTTTGGAAGAAGCCATGGTGGGAAGGTTAGTGGCAAGTGTGGTGTAGAGCCTTACCTGTCCCTTGGGGAGGTTTTTGTTTTGGAGAGGAGCCACTTCCAGAGGAGAGGAGAGGAAGGCTCATGGCATTTGCTGAGACTTTTGAGCTCCTGCTGTTTTATTTTGTGGGTTTGTACCTACAAAACAGAGACCTCCCCTCTGAATTCGGGTTTCTGGGACTAGTGTGCATGCAGCAACTTGCCAGGCTGTGGGTACCCTCCCCATCGCAGCACCCAC